GGCTCTCGGAATCCGTCGCGCGAATGCACCCTCAGGCACACTCCGCGGCCACAGACACGCACGCAAAAAAGGCCGCGTGTGTGCTTCCTTCGCGGCCCTTTGCCAGCGTCACTGGTGTGATGGTCCGAAGGCACCTCCAGCAAGGGATAGATGCTGCCACACAGAAACGGGTGAGGATGTGTCTGCAGGCGAATTTTTGGGACCGTTTCGGTTTCGCTGCGGGAATGCGCACGTCTCTCTCATATTGGGTGATTCAGTAGCGCTGCCAGCAGAGACAGGGTCTCGCTCCTGACGCAGGTTTCTCCACGCCGATGCAGGGTCACGGCTGCGCTCGCTTCTGAAACGGTGAATAATAGCGTTTATCTTTACTGTAACCATTGCACTACATACGAAGCTCTGTGCATCATTTCGTCGTTTATTCGGGCTTCTAGCCCCTCAGACGCGGTGCATGGAAAAACGACAGAGCAGCACAGCAGCTACGGTAGATGCTCTGTTTTCCTCGATGATGCAAGGTCCTTGGTCCGTCGCTACATCCCTTGACACTGCGAACTGCCGAGCTTTGCCTACCCTTATGCACCTTCCTACATAGTTCATGCGAGCACGCCCGGGGGCTGCGCACGTGTTGACGTCTCCTCTCTGTCCTGTTTACCCGCCTGTTCACAAACTGGCGGCGTGGTGGCACGCGTGCTCTCGTCGCATGAGGGAAAATGGTCTCTTCCCAGGGCGTCTAGCGACTTTCCTTGACGGAATCGGGCTACTGGCCTCAATGGGGCATTGTGCGGAAAACCCGTTGCCCCCGCGGCAGGCACATGGGCCGCAGCAGTCGAACCGGCAGGCGCGACGCTTTGTTTTGCTGAGTCCGTGGCTCACGTCTATGACGGCGTGCTGGACAAGTTCTGCAGTGCCATCAGACTTCCTTTCAGGCGGCCGCGCGGGCGTATACCAGTGGCTGCTCGCTCAGCGTGGCTCAGTCTTTCGCCCTGAAGCATCCGATTGCAGCAGTGCGCTAGATGGGTTATGACTGAAGCTTGTTGCGACCGTCTGGAATCGGGGGGCGAAATAGAGCGTCTTTACACCCTTCTGTTAGAGCGTCGGAACGTATCAGACTTCCACATTCAGTCAGGTTCAAGGGGTACAGACCGCTGGCGCTGTTCAGCACGTTGTCGAGTGATCCGGAAACCGTTTATATGGGAACGGCGGGCCACCGTTGCGGCAGCCGGTGGAAACCATGCAGAGGAACAATGCCTGGATGCCAAGGTGCTTTTCTGCTGAGCGTCACAAACGGCGGAAAGCGACAATAACGTCCCTGTTGGTTGACATACGAGGCGGGGAAGCGCGGGCCCTACAATGGGAAGAAGGAGCTCAGCGACGCCAGACCTCAGGCGGCGTGCAGGTGGATCACTAACACCGGTACGTAAGAAGCAGGGGGTAAAGCAACGCACCCGTGTCGACGGCTCACACGGAGCTAGGTAAAAGGACTCCGCCGCATCTCAGCGCATCGTGAAAGCACCGATCTGCCCTGCATGTTACTGACCCCGGAAAGTCCGGTTATTTCTTGTGAATCGTCGTAACTAAGGTATGCTGCACATGTAGGCCGACTCTAAGGCCTTACTTGAGGTTCACCCTCGGTTCTGAGTCCTGGCAGGGCGCGAGAGTAAACGACAAGGTCAGACAGTGCAACAGGCGTTCCGCTGCGCTGGCTTGGTTCAAATAGAGCGTCGATATCAGAGCTGTTCAAGGTCGCTCCGAAGGAGTGATGCTCTGGGCGGAGTCCAGAAAGCGGCTTGCGTTCGTAAGCCCTCCGCATCGTCGTACAATGTGGGAAAGAACAGGGGTTCGTGTGACGACCACAATGGGGCATGCATCATGCAATGCCAAAACACCTTTACAGGACGCCTCTGTCCTCCCTCCTACATTTCGGCTGCAAGAAATACGCTCATGAGGGTGTGCCTTCAAGAAAGTTTACTTGACTGCGAAGGCGAGAACCAGCGCAACGAGGAGAAACTAAATGCAGCATAGTCTCGGTGGGCTGCGTACTACCGAGACGCAGCGGCCGGCGACAACATAGGGCTGCTCTTTTCTTGTGACAGTCTCTTTTCTGTGAAAAAAGATAGAAGTTGTGTGACTGTGGTGCGGGCTGGAGGGAACTGTGGCGCGTCACCGTCTTTGGGTGACTGCCGGCGTGCCGCAGCATAACTTTAGCAGATAAGGACTGCTGTATGCTGGGTGCGCTTCTTCCCCAAGTTCTGGGCAGAGACCGGCAAGCAGACTATGGTGCATTTAGTTTCTCCGCCTTGCGCTGCAGAAAATCAAGCTGTTTCACCGTGGGTTCCACAGTATCGAACAAGCGGCGCTCCCAATGAGAGAAAGCCGCAAGCCTGTCCCAGGCCAGAACAGTAGCGCTCGAAAGGGCACCAGAGGTGACCGCATGCGAGGCTGACTTCACGGCAAGCAAACGAACATGCAAGCAGAGCGGTGAACCGCAAAGAACGGTAGCGCTGCGGTTGGTATCATTTGCGAGCCGAGGTACGGATGCTTCAAGTGCTTCTCGCCAAGCAGTTTCACGCTGAAGGCAGACAATAGGCTCTTAAGTTTGCCTTGAGTACCGCTGCAGGCTCGAGTAAGCTTTTCTGAGATTCCGGAGTAGTGGCTAATCGGCTCGCTCGTCGGGAGACGCCCATCCACATCACGCGTGTATGTCATGGGTCGACACGACAGAAGTGTCGCAGGCGAGGCTTCGCACCACGTCTCAGCATGCTTTCCTGTAGATTTTGCTGCTCGGCCTCCGCCAGGAAGTCCTCAGGGCGTGTCGGTGTCAGCGTTGCTCTGTAAATTTGCCGGGAGATCCGGCGGGTCGTTGTTGCTGACTGACAGAAGCAGCTCGCTTTTGAGCGCGGGTATCTTGCGGAGTGCCGCGATGAGTGTGCACAAGGCGTGTCAAACATTTTCTGCTGCCGCGGCGTAGACGTGCTGCTGTGCTTTATCCAATACCTGCATAACCTTGACATCCGTGGGGAAGAGTTCATTGATGCCCTGTACAGAGCGTAAGGCTCTGAACGGGTCAGCCTACGTGCGCGGCTCCTGGCGGGTAGGTAAGTACACATCGCTGATTCTGAAACAACTTCGCAATACTTGCGAAAGCTCCTCCGGGCCGACGCCAGCAAGGGGAATTGGTACCATATATATGTATTTGTATGTATATATGTATACACATCTACATTTACATATACCTATGTGGATGGATATATATATGGTCAAAGCAGGCCAACTGTTGCAGCCGCGCGATATATGCACAACGCTGACAGCGAACGTGTTCCTGGAAGAAGGGGCTCATAGATATCGGAACTCCTAAATCGTGCTCTGGCGTCCTGCATGCCAGCGGGCTTGCACAGGTGCCAGGTAGGACAGGCTGTGATTGAAACGTGACGTGCAGAGCTCAGATGACATTGGCTGCGACGTTGCTGCATTCACTAAATCGATGCGGCTTACCGTGCACCTTCCGGCCGCGCAGGCGGCTTTAGAAACCTGTGCATCCCATGTCTGTTAGCGCCGCCCGTGACCGCTGCCGCGCTTCATTTCCGCCGTTTCCGGGCTACCTCCTTCTCGCGCGTGGCGCGGCGGTAACTCCTTTCCACTGCAGGGCGCGTCTGAACCTAGATTCGGCATGAATTTGCAAGCGCCGGCGAGTGTGCCTTCAGTCTCCTCCTGGAGCCGAATACACACCAACCCAGGGCGAGCACGTCCAACACTTCCACAAGGAGTTCTTTGCACGGATGCGCTGGTGACTGCTAGTGGGCTCCGTCGGCGTGGAAGAGCCACGCATCCGCCGGACACGAGGCTTTGGCTCTTACGTCGAGGCGTAGAGGATGCGGCCCCGCGACGCTGATGCATTGTCGTTTGAGGCAATCAGCTGTACAGAAAAGACCGATTACTTCCAGAAGAATCCAAACACGCTTAACGTAGCCCTTGGATAAAAAACTTTACAAAAGTGTCTTACTGAGAAGGAGTGCCCGCGTGACGATAGTGTCATTGGTGGCGGGTTGCGAAGGGTCATTCCGGGGCCCTTGACTGCTCCAGATGTCTGTCATTGTAGCTAGCTTGCTCAAGTCGCTCCTCCGAGAGGGCGGCTACACAGACTGAGAGGCCACCGGGATGGGCTCGTTCGAGTACGCCGCAGGTGACGCTATCGCGAGAGCCGCCATTGTAAGCCGACAACAGCACCGTCACATCGGCGCATTTATGTCGTGAAGGTTTACGGGAGCGCCTGAAACACCTAGGGTTGCCGAGCGGGAACGCAGCGAGACGTGCTGCATCTGTGAGCACGGATCATCTTTAGCCGTGTCCATGGCTCCTGATAAGGTCAGTGCGACAGGCCCCATTGGGCCGACTGCTGTAGGAGAGGTCTCGCGGTGTGCGTGCGTAAGTGGCAATTTCTTGAAGACTTCGGAGATATGACCATATTCCTCGCTTGTAGAAACATGTAAGTACAGAGGTGCAACGGAAGGCGGGACGCAGTCAAAAAAGTTGCATCATCCTCGTGGTTGTTTTGAAGCTGAGTGAGACGTGGAATGCAGCCAAAGACGTGAGGGTCGTCCGTCCCTTACTAGAGGCCGCCACAGCGAGGCATCTGTTCTCGCCGCTGTCAAGCATGGAGATGGACAGGATGACTTCGTGGCTATGGTGTGGGTACCTACTGGTATCGGACAGACGATGGTGTAGGCTGGCCTGAGAGGCGCTTCCACAGTGGATTTGCTGTCCAGCTTCCTCGACATGCGTGAGGAAACGCGCTTTTCTCGCACCATCCTGAGTTAGCCGATACTCGCGGAGAGGCTTGAAACTGGCCACGCATGCTGGAGGTTCTGCTCTGGTGCCTCGCAGCTTCCACTGACAGCCGTTGAATCTGTTAACGGTTCTGGAGCAGCTAATTCAAAGAGTGCTGCTCGTTGGGTCAGCGGTTGGGAGCAGGCGCGGATTCCCGCAAATGGATCGAGACTTCCTGCAATGGAAGTTGGAGGTCTGGAGAGCCTGAAAAATGCATAACCTAGTGAGTGCGACGTTCAGACAAGTTCCCGGTCGGGACGCCCGCAATCGATTGGCAAGCAGGTGTACGCTCGGGCTGAAAGTGAGCTCACACGACTTTTGTCTGCGACGATCGTCTGCAGCGTGGCACAGAATGTTCACCGTTCGGAGGAAACCTCCTTCTGCGAGCGATAGCACAGATGTGCTCTTGAGTTTTGTGGCATTAGGAGAAGAAAAGGCGGCTTCTTTGCTGCAATACAAAGAATCTTTAGGCTGTAGCAGCTATGCATCTTGCAGGTGGCCAGCTTAAAATTCTGTCTAGTTGTCCCGGGGAATTCTGACGCGACTTGAGGCGCGCTCTGCTTCGTGCACACATTTGTGTGAAACCATCTAGACGCTGGAAACGACTGGGCGTTCGAAATTGAGCCGCAGCTACTACATCTTACAGACATCTTTTGCAAGCACAGACGAACAGCGCGGTCTAGGGAGCCGCCGTGAATGTGTCTCCGCGGTCCTGTGGAGGATGGCCGTCGACTTCTATCACGCACTGGGACCAGGAGTTTACACCACGTCGCTTTTGATTTACAGACGGATCAGATACTAAGGGCTTACGGACCTCAAACCGCCACCTTGCGCTTCTTCTGCCACCGGAGTCGATCAGCATCCAAGTGTGGATTCAAGAGTCGCTCGTACTGTGCGGGGGGACGGTACGGCTGTACAGGCAGAGCCAGCGGCGCAATTCTCAGGGAATTAATGTAACGTTCGTCTTCAAGGAATGCAGGAGGCGGCCGGGAGGACAGCGGCATAAGGCTGGCATGATATAGAGCTTTCTTCAGAGTTGTACAACAAATGAGTCTCCCACAACTATTCACTGAAGGGACCTATCCGCGGCCGATACCTGGCTAACACTAGCGTCGCTTTGTCGGAAACGCATCACCGGGGCTCTTGAGAGCGAGACCGACGCTCGTTTGCGCGCCAAGTGGGTCCGTAGATTGCACGATACTTTGTCGAAGAGACACCCGCGTCGAGCGGCGGCTGAGCTCTGCTTCTCCCGCTGTAAAGAGCAACCTGCAAAGCGGGTCCGTCTTGGCCGGTCCGGGAAGGCCGGCCGCCCAAAGTTGCTCGATGGCGTTCTAGACGTGACGTTCTACAGTGCTCTCGCGGTGATGGCCACTGAGGCAGCTGCATCTGCAGAAACGAGGCAGGGAAGTGGCACGTCACCCCACCGAAAGGCGCGCACGAGTAAACTTTGGCTCCGGCCAGCGCATTTCACTCATCCAAACAAAAATTCTCCGGCGACGAGCTCTCTGCCCGCGTTCTTCTCTCCAGTCAGCTCAGCTGCCCTGCTGAAAAAGAAGTGTGTTTGTGTGCACAGAAAGAGGTGAGCAGCCGAGCGATGGTTTCGCTGCTGACCAGCCCCGAAAGGGGCCCTGGTATTGCGCGCACCGGCCGTCTGAATCAGAGAGGACCAGTACTGAAGCCTGTGCTTTTTCTCCGTGAAAATGGATAACCTTGCTTACGTGCTTCCATCCCCAGTGCGGACGTTTCAGCGGACGCGGCTTACGACGGGAGGGCGTGTTCCATTTATTGAAAAAACCTACCTCTTTCAGTTCGCAGTCTACTTGGTCGGGATTGTGAACCGCCGTATAGACCCGGTCCCCTTGGTTTACACGAAAGACCAGTCGCGTTCTCCAGCTCCCCCTCTCTGCGCAATGCTATGTACCGGGGGCTGCGATTGTTGCAGCCGTCGTACTAGTGGTTGTACTATGTCTGAGCGAGCGAGGGCAGAACAGGCCTGGGGCTCTTGGACGTTCCGCCCTCACGACGCACGAGTGGGTGGGAGCTGACAGACTGCCGGGGTTGGCCGTCGCTTCTCGCAGAAGTCGTTACTGGCTGCTGCAGGTACCTGTGTGCGAGTGTTGTGCTCTTCCCCCGGACGTCCTTACGCCGGCACTCTCTAGAAAACAGCGCGCTCGCCGGCGGAGATGCCGGTGACCAACCGTTGGGGGCTGTCTTGAGATTCGCTTCGAGAACTGCATGGCAATTATTTCTGAGATGTACGACTTACTGCTTGGCGGAATTCTTTCGCCAGGTCAGGCGCCTCGCGCCCTGTTCCGCGTGCGTTGTCGCCGTTCACAAGTAGTTTTCCAGTCAGAATGCTACGTGTCGTCGCCGTGAAGACCGTTTCGGAGAGAGAAACGGCGGGCCACTGGCTGATCACTTCCCCGCCGTCGGCTTGCTTTCCGCAGCAGAGCACACTTCACTAGATGCCTGATGCAGTGCTAGAGGGTTCCTCAGAGTCCTGACAGCAAGCTTTGAGTTCGCTTGCAGCATGCTGGTGATTTCACTCACGGCATTACTCTGCTTGAGATGCGCCATATATGTAGAGACTCGCGGCCACGTACAGCTCTCACGTACTCTCTAGAAGTTGAAGGCCAGGAGGCGTACGATGACAATCGCAGCTTTTACGAGCAGGGGTCCCTTGGCGGGCTCGCACTCTGATAGCAGCACATGAATATGTATATGCCCGCCTGAAGGCACATATCAAACTAGAATTGGACCAGAGCGGGGTCCGAAGCCGGCGCGCGTAGCCACTAAACGGTACGTTGATGAGGGCAGCTGACATAGAGGCCATGCGGTACAAAAGCTGTCTGCTGTCGCAGAAAGATTTGCTGTGGCGCACCGGAAGGAAAACTAGATGGTGTAGTGGCGGGCGTCCAGCACGAAAGTACGTGCTTGTGCTCCAAGGATCTTTAGTGCATGGCAAGGATTAGGCGAACGGTCAAGAAAGGGGCGTCGACGGAGGCAGTGACGATTGCACTTTGTTCTTCGTAGCAAAGCGGAGGAAATCCAGACCGTCCCACTGAGTGCGTTACGCCAACCGTAGGCTTGGGTCTTTTGCATGGCAAGTATCCTTTGCAACATGATGGAGAGGAATCGGGAGTGGAAAATAACACGGATTGCAAAAGCGTATTCAGACGTCAACGGTTGCGACCGCGTTCGAAGTGCTCAGCGCAGTTTCGGCAGTGCAATCACGCAGGCGGGCGAAGGCAACTGTCAGCAGCAGATTTGTAGCAGTTGTTGTTGTTGTTGTTGTTGTTGTTGTTGTTGTCGTGTCCAGTCCGCGGTCGGGAAAGATGGTTGGAGCTCCGAAGCGTCTTCATCTCCATTCTGCACTCTGCATCAAGCGCGACGCATGAGCGCAGCATAGCCTCGAGAACAATGAGTGCGACACGCCCTCGAACAGTGTGAGGCAAGCGCAGAAGGTTTCGCATTGTATTCGCGTCGCCTAGAGGTCTCGCCCTGACACCTCAGGTGTGGGCTCGGCTTTGATACAGGGGGCCTGCCACAGTTTTTCTCTTTGCTTCTTTATCCTGGGGTGGCTGTGGCACTGCCGAGAGAACCTCTCTGGTGCTGAAATAACATATCGGGCACACGCTGTGGTGCTCACAGAGGACAGCAGCAGGAAGGTCAAAGGAGCCGCAACGCGTGTATGGTTCCCAAAGGAATTTCTGATTCTGCCAAAGTGTGTGCCCATCAATTCGGTGACACTCTGCAAGTTGGGCCTAGGGGCAGATGTAGATCAGTCTGCACTGGTTACGAGCACCCCCGAGAGTATCGTCTGCAACCGCTTCTCGCCGGTCAGCCGCACCGGTTCTAGCACTGGTTCTCGCCTGCACGAAGCGCAACTCGCGGGAGTGACAGCACACGTTTGACAGAACCTGCTTTATATGTCGACAGGTTAAGACAAAGCTCCTCTCGTAGCTTGGAGGGCTCGCAGTTCTTTAAACATGACTATTCTTCCATTGGCCACGTTCTCCTGTTTTGTCATTGCTTTTGCAGAATTACGACAAAACTCTAAATACGCTCCACCTCCTGCGCTTACTCTAACAGAGGCTACTGCGGCGGAGAGAGACGGAGCGGTGCATGTTCTGCGGAGCGTTTTGGCTGAGTCCATGCGCTCTGGGTCTTGTACAGTTATGCCGGAAGCACAAAGTCAGACCGTAGCCTTACCAGGAGATAGACGGAGCGGTGCATGTTCTGCGGAGCGTTTTGGCTGAGTCCATGAGCTCTGGGTCTTGTACAGTTATGCCGGAAGCACAAAGTCAGACCGTAGCCTTACCAGGGGGCCGTTATGAATGTCGCCCTCCCACAATGCGGAAGCTGCCCGTCGACAGAGTTGACTGGAGACGCCCGGCACTTACACAGAAATTTGTATTTCTGCAAAGAAAGGCATGTGTAGGCACACAAATATCTGGAGCTGTCACGCAGCGACTTGGCGGGCAAAGCAGCAGGATGACTTGCATCGTAGCTGTTTTCGAATGAGAAGACGCCGTGCAGTTGTAGGAGAGTCGCATGCTGTAAGAGGTGAGGACAGCAGTCATTGTTCGAAGCTATCACATTGAGGTGGGCCTCGCCCTCCTAGCAGCGGAGAAAAGAGACGGGAGGGAGAGCGGCGAGAGTCCGCGAGCAGCAGACTTCGCGGCTTGTTGAGGCTCCACGGAGGATCCGCTGTCAGCGCTGCACCGTGGGCAAAATGGCATAGCGCACAGCGGATAGCAGCGAAACGAATAGAGTGCTGCACCACGGGTGACATGTCAATGATCTTCACTCTGGAAAACATCTGCGCTGGCATGAGGCTGGGCGGCTCTAAACTTTCCATGATGTGGCGCGCGAAGCGCGGTACGACCGAAGGTGGCACGGTGAGCATCTCTGTGGCTTCCAAGACAGAAGGCAGTCTCGGCGTGATCTAGCATCGATCACGTGAGAACGGGCAAGGCGTCTTTCCCTTTGGCTGCAGGGCAGCAGTGCAAGTGGACCGGACTTGTAAAAGGTCTGGCTTCGGCGGCGGCCGCGCCAATCTGTTCACCGCAACAGAAGTCTGCGGGCTCGACGCCATCTTCACTGCCCTTGTAACCATTATGAGCCGATTTGAGTGCGCTCTCGGAAATGGCAGAATCACTCTACACAGATGAAGGTGAGTATGGTGATGGTTTGCTTCGTTGAGCACAAAAAGAAATGTCCTTGATGCTTTATTCGTCTCTGCTACGATCCTGAGAGGAACGGACAGTGTATCCGCCGTGCTAGTTTCATCAAGGATGTGCGTTCATCTGAGTGCTCAAAGCTGCGGCTAAGCCGCTTTCAAGGAACGTCGACGACGGCGGGACACGTCGGCTGGCATGAGGGGTTGTATGTGCCTTATTGCAGACGTACTACGCTGAGGATGCTTGTGGGGCAACGGCGGCTTTGTCAGTTGCCCGCGTCCGTTTGCGAGCTGCAGTGGGAGTGGTGCCGTGAGAGGAGCAGCTTTCCCTGCTGTCGTGCTGCTGGCTGAAATGCGTGTGAGTAGCCGGGTGCAGGAAGCACGACGCTTTATGAGAACAGAAGGTTGTAGAACGCCTGGTCTTCCACAGAGGCTGTCTAGAGGTGCACAAGCACGTAGCACACATCTCGCACGGCAACGCTACTGCAGCCATCCTCTAGAAGGGTCCCAGCTGCTCCGAACAGTCGATCAGACGGCTGCGTTGCTTGAAGGACGGACCGCAGGACCGACAGCGCCCCACGCCGCTTTCGACGCAGACGCTAGGTTCAAGCGCCAAGAGCTGCTCCCGAGCGCTCAATACCCAGCCCAGGGGTTTAGTTCTAGCTATTGTGGGGCCTAGGCATGTCGATGTGCTCTGCTTGGTCCGCCGCCCCTTATTAGTCCGTCCGCACCGCGCAAGCCCCCCCGTCTCAGGAACGGGTAAGGGAGGACAGCGAGAGGATCACATAGTGGTATATATATAAGTTACTCATATTTAATTGTAGGATGAGGGGCGATGTTGTCGTGTGGTCAGAGTGATCTCGTGGACGAACCACTGCCTACCATGAGCTTTCCTTGGTAGCCGCAGCACAAACCATGAACAGAGGTGTCACTGCAGGACGAGTGCTGCGGCCGCCGGTGATCTTGTTCGTAGCCTTCAGTCGTCCAGTGTGCCGAGGACTCCTTCAGCGTAAAGCACACAGCACGTCCTGCGAGGTCAGCTATAGAGCAGAAATGCTTCGAAAAGAGGAAGTTTTGCTGGGAGCACGTCTCTGCTGACGGAGGGCGACGACGGAACCGCCGATGTCAGAGAGGTGAGGCGAGGAGGAACTGTGTACGTACTTGGTAGAATGAGCGCAAACGAGTAGAACATGTAAAGCAGCTATCTCAAGAGATTCATTTACCGAACCCACGTCGTCGTAGTGCACCGTGTAGCGAGTGTGGGCTACTATGAGGAGTGGGAAATTCGTAGCTTGTTGCCGCGCGCATGGTAGCAGGCTCTGTGGCGCCGTGGGGATATGGGAGCTATCCCCCCGATACAAAGTGGCACCTCGTGTAATAAAGAAGGTAACGGCGGCCAACAGAATGGCCACGGCCGGGGTGCGGAGAACGCGGGCAGGGGCTGTGACGCCAGAGGGAAAACAGCTGCGCCTCTCTGGTGACGGGTCTAGAACTTGGCACAGACGGCAACGACGCCTTGAAGGGCTTATGTGATTTTCAGCACACAAGGCGGGCCCTCAACTACAGACTTCTTGTTCAGTCCTCCTCGAGCGCGCTGCTTGCGTTTCCTACAGTCCAAGCACATTTGCTAAGCCGTCAGCGGTGCATGTACCATTCGGACGCCACGACACTAGCGGAGCTCCACCCGTCTGTGAGGTCGTCAGGCTGATATTCTCCGGGTTTCTGCGCTTCTCTAGGAGGCACATCGCTTCGTTTAACACTACTGTAATCTCGCGGTGCGTAGGGCAGCTTTGGCGCAGAGAGACGCGGGTCTCAGAACTCCACATGTCACCTGCACGCACGTTCCCGCTTACCTCGAAGGCGACGACGCTAGCGGAGCCCCACCCATCTATGAGGCCGTCAGGGTGGTATTCTCAAGCTTTCTGCACTTCTCACCGAGACAGGCCGCTTCGTTTCAAACTACTGTATCTTTGCGGAGCGTAGGGCAGCTTTGGCGCAGAGCGACGCGTGTCTCAGAACTCTACATGTCACCTGCACGCATCTCCCCACAGTAAGCGGGGTCTGTAGCAAAGACGGCACGGAAATGGAGCACAGGCTGTGGGCGCTGCGCTTGTACAGGATGTACACCGTCCAAGAACGGATCCGTCTCTAGGTACCGGGCACCCTGGCGTTTACAGCTGCTCTGCTTCAGGTGGTGCGGCTGCCGCGGGTCTTGCTGTCTAATGAAGTCCGCCGCTGCACGTCGAGGAAGTTACGCACTGCCTATCACTATTGCGCTGTACCTGCGCAGGACGGGGAAATAAGAAAGGGTGCGCTGCAGCCAGAAGCGCTTCCCGGAAGGCAACGTCACTGTCACGCTGTATTATGTAAGAGATATCTGACCCAACCAATTTCCTAAGGCCAACCATCTTTGCTCGTACCAGATAGCTCTACATCTTGCCTACCTTCTGTAAATCCAGAATAAAATCAGAAACTCACGGCGGACGCTTACGTTTGCACGACATCGGCTAGAACTGAATGTTAACCTACACGGATAGAAGGAGCATGTCCGACGTCCAGTGCTTGCCTACCACAGGCGTAAGCCAGCCGATCAGAAGTGGGCATGTACTACTGTGTTTAGTGTCACATTCTAGGAAATAGGGCTGACGCGTGCTCCCTCTGTTCGTCTGCACGACACTGAGGAGCAGGTTAGTACCTAGTACATCTCTCATCCGTCTTGTACCCTTTGGAGCACATTGGTTTCCTACCACCGCAGCAACAGCACGGAACTTTTCCTCTTCGTATCAGTTGACCTTCGGCACAGCAGTGAGGCCTATGGTACACGAGCATGCTCCTGGCCGAATGCTTATATTAGTGTTCAGCGAATAGAGGTTGACACAACAGAGGGGATTTTCCCTAGACCGCAAATGAGCGAGAGTGGAGTAGCGCTCATTCTCCTTCCCCTTCTGTTCTTCCTTAGCTTACTTCTTTCTTTCTTGCATTCATTTTTCCTTATTGTTTTTTCCTTCCTTCCTCCTTTCTCGCCTGCTCTCTCCTGCTTCCTTCTCTTTCTTTCTCGGCTTATTTAGCTCCCACGTCTTTCCCTTCGCCCCTCTATCTGTCCCTCTTCGAGTATTTCATTTATATGTCTTCTATGTCTCCCTCTCTCCGCCTCTTTATGTCGACTGTCTGCACAGGTTTGTGACGTGGCCTCCGCAATCCGTTCTAGAATACCGGGCAAACCAAGGCGCGCGAAGAAGGTGCGCTCTGGCGGCTGCCTCACGCGACCCTGTGACGCCACGAGAACACACGATTTTGGTGCAGAGGCTTATGCAGACACGCCTTCAGAGATTCTTCTGCTGTGTTCGGCGCCCCCCCGCAGGAGGAGGTGAGTTCACATTCGGCTTACGGTTACTTTCAGACGGCCTTCCGTGCGGCGGCCCTCCGCACATGTCGCAAACTATGATTGCGTGCAGTTGGCGAGACACAGCGCACCGTGCGCGGTCCACACAGTGACTTCGGTACCAATCCTCCAAAAAATTCACTCTCCCACTCGCTTCTACAGCCTCGCCAAACCTTAAGAGGCGGTGCTCATGGATCTCAGAAACAGCACACTCCTACTGCGCTGCGAGAATAAGCTTAGCTTTGCAAGAAGACCCTATGTGTAGGCATCGAGGCGAAGAGCACGTTGTCCAGTTTTCTCATAATCGCGGTGCGTGCATTCGATTTCGCGTTCGCCGAAACTCAGACGATCGGTCAAAGTGTTTGGAGCGTTTGTCGCCGTGTGCACCGGCAAACGTGGAACGACGCGCTCTAAGACAAAACCTGACACCGGCCCGAATGTGCGCGCCTCATCGAGAGATCTGCGCGAATCTACGTGATCGACGAGGATAAGTGAGTATATGTTTGCTGCAAGTACCGGAGTGACCCCAAGGGCAAGCAGAGCGGTATTTGGACACAGCGGAGCTGAGAACCGAACTGGTGGTGCCCTATACACTTTTCTCTCCGGGCGCCGATATCGGAAACTCCGCCTCTGTAGCTGATCATTCGTTCAACTGAGCAGACACGTTACACTGCACTTCCCTTCACTGCCGTTTCGGATATATCTTCAGATTCGTTGAGCCCGCAGCCAGTGCACTGCATGGTGGTGCGGCTGTGGACGGCGCGGTTGTCCCCCCCTGCGATCGAAACTTCTGCATAGCATACCTGCTTGCCTTCGCTGCATGGCACTGCGATGACGGATGCGCTGCGTCGTGTTCCGAGGCATCAGGCTAGACAAGTATGACCTCGAACCCACTTTCGCGTTCATCAGTAAGCAAGATGCGTCCGCCCCCGGCGTGCATATAGCGAGCGCAGACGTACGCGCTGCAGCAGTGGAAATCCACTTCCACTGCAAGTGCGGTTTCACGTATAATCGGAACCTGAAAGCCTTTCGCCCCAAAGCACGCCGTTTCGCGGAAAGCCGAGGCGGTAACGTCACTGCGTTCTCGGAAAAGGTCAGGTCAGGATCGTTCCGTGGTACGATCTTCACCTTACAAGCTACAACCGAAAACACACTGAAGACGTCCAGGTGCAGAAGGGTACTGTCTGGAAAGACGAGGTGACATGGGAAGGACACACAGGTAGGAAGTCCGAGGCAAGTGAGAGAGTCCTTGTGCGGGAAGGCTCAGCGACACCACCAGCTTTCGGTAGGGCGAAATACGCGCTGTAATCGCCTTCTTTACACGGTGTTCTTGGACGTCAAGATTGGGGCTTTCGCTATCACACAGGTTTGACGCTGTACGGTGTCCTGCCTGAGAATGTTTTGTGTGCACAGCCGGCTGCAGGGGCCGACAAGCGTGTAGGCCTGGTTCTGTGCGCATACTGAGAGCGCATGCTCGTCCGAAGAGACGGTTGTCTTCAGAAGCAAGAGCCGATCAACGTCCTCACACGGACCCCGACGACAGCCATTGAAAGCGCACATGCAAGGCGAGCACGGGCAAAGCCTCTAGGGTCCTTCGTCCGGCACTAGCGTTTGGTGAGAGACCGAGTGCGCCCTCTCTGGAATTGCTGAGGATGTGTTGCACACGAAGTTCCTAGGCAACGCTTCGCAGGCGGCACTTGTTCAGAACAGCGGGTCTTCAACTTGAACATCGATGCAGCTTGCAGAGAGAAATACACGCATGCGCAGTTCAGAACGCGCAGAAGCCGCTCCCCTCAGCCGCGCCAGAGCCGTGGTCACCAAGCCGACTCTCATCTGAGTGCCACAACAGGGCGTGTGCGTGATCTGCTGTGGCTCTTTCCCGACACTATATAACGCTCTATGGCTAACTCGCAGAAGGGGGGAGGCTTTAGGCCGCATCAGTCTTGGTGTGCGGAGGCTTTCTGCGGATCCGAACCAGCCCGAGCGTACAGAGACAGTGGCACGCTCATGCCCGCCTTCCTATTGCGCTTTGCGTGCTGGAATTCCGCACTACTTTCGTGCTTCTCAATCGCGCTCCAGATCTAGCAGTTTTCCTGTTGACTGGTTAGGTTCCACAGTCTCCGTTCGCAGCTCGGGAAGGCATGCCTCAATTCTATATCTGCATCCATTCTAGAAGGCAGTCGTAGTCAGCGTACGCAGGTATAACGTACGGTGCAACACTGCAGGGTAATGTAGACAGACAGCGGTGTCTCGCTGCAGCGTTGCAGGCAGATATTCCGGATGGTGTTCCGGCGCGCTGGATTCTTCTGCAAGACAACATTGCAACCACTCTTCGCGAGCAGCCTGTCTCAGACGCCTCACTCACGGCGAAGGCCGGCGCCGGCAGCACGTGGTAGACCTGACACATCAACCACGTTCCAGCCGGCGCCCAAAAAACCTTTTTCACGATTTGAAACAGAGCTCCGCTGATGGTGACCATCTCCGTTCTCTCGTGCAGTCGTCCCCGCCAGAGACGCACATAGATAAGCTCGATGTGCTTCCGTCCGCGCATATTCTGCTTCGGCGGCCGTGCCGAACAGGAGCAAGCGATGCGAGGAGTCTGCGGTGTCGATGTGAGCTCAGAAAAGCAGAGTGCCATGGGCTCGTGTCGGAAGCAAGCATCGAGGTTGTGCGGCCGCAGTTGTTCTGTCAGAAGTTGGAGGGCTCCCGCTTGTCGTGCCCCACGTGAAGGTACACCCGGTACACGCCCGGCAGTTCCAAAAAGCTCCCCGGTAAGGTATTAGCGGCCCACGCACTCCGCACTCGACCACGGATGCGCATCTGCCGAGCTGTCCTGACGCAGGCGTCCGCAAATGGGAAACTGAACAGATCCCGCGCAGCCGGCGAGTTGACCGCTCCCCCCAGCGAGTGGAGTCGCCTTTGGGTGGTAGCAAGCTAGCGCCTGGACGGCGCTAGCAGCGTAAGGCGACACACAGAGCCTATCGCGCTGCTTAAGCGCGTCCTCGACGGCCCGACGTCGAATCCAAGGAGAAACAGTAGGTCGAGGCCCTTATGCAAGCGGTTAAGAAGCGCTGCGATGTCTCGGACGTATCGAAGAGCACTCTGTGCAGTAAGAACTAAGTTGTCTGAGAGGTATAGAGCAGTACTGGGCTTACACGCGGTGCACCTCTTCCTTCACGGAGGGTAGCAGTTCATACTTCTTTCTCGAGCGCAGCAGCACTAGGGGTAGCCGCTACGGTGGACCGGACACAACACTGGAAACCCACTACAATCACAACACGTGTGCGGGCGCGAAACGTCGGCCGTCTGCATTTCTCTTGTGAGCGCGCGGGTATTATTGTGGGTTCCCGGCAAGATTCTGCTACCCAGAGACAGGTTAGTGTGTGGGTGAAACCTCCGTTACTCGGTAACTTCAGACAAGGAAAGTGGGAGCCGCAGCCGCCTCTTCTCTCTTAGTGATCCGGCAACATTTCCAGGGCTTCCGCCCCTCAGTTCAAGGTGCATACAACTTTGAGTGGACTCGTGGACACGACCGTGCTCGAGTCCAGGAGGGTGTAGGGCCAGGGTACCGAGCGTCGCGTCCGCTGCTCAACCTGACGGTTCTGCGCGCTGCCTGGATGGTCACTTTAGTCTACTGCAGAATCCGCGTACGAACGCTTCTATCGGAATCGCTTTCCAGCTCTTTTCAACGCCTTCGGCCTCTTACTACACGCTTCAGCCTTTAAGAATGCGCCAAGCCCCTCCTGACAACGTGCTTCTCCCCACCTGTTTCGCGAGGACACCGGGCTGCCGATGCATCTCCATTCTCTTGTTGTCCAGACTGCATGACAGCCTGCATACTGGCAGACTAAATGTATGCGTTTCCTACGCCCATAAGTGAAGGTAGGTTTTTTCACCGTCTCCTCGACAATCCGTTCCCCTGGCACTCCATAATCATGCTGACTGGAGATTTGTCTGACACGTGACGCTGTAGCTACGCTGCCGACTCGGCTGAGAATGTCGGTGGGGAGCCAAGAAGGCAGCTTCTGGCTACTCAGTTTTGACGTTCTCGAGCCCGGTATCCTGCAAAACGAGGCCCCCTTTTACACCACCAGGATCCTTGCCACATACTTTCGGGAAGTCCACAGATTCTGTTCTACGCGTGATGAACCCTGTGCTCGCCCAAATTTCAGATATCCTTTGCAGCGATTCGTGAGCGCAGACTGCGATATGACTCGTCAGCGGCGGGCGCGGCACTGCACAGAACCTAACATGAACACTGAGCATCTGCTGAACGCTAGAGGGCGCTTCGCAGACGTGTAGGTGTCACGCGGGCGAGCCACGCATGCTGATTCATTGCTGCAGGCCCTTGTAGTGGCTCAGGGGCCTGAGGCACCTGCGCACGCGGGCTTCTCAGCAGAATGTAATGAATAAAAAGGAGCGACGAGGGCGTTAGCGAGTTCAAGGAACAAAGACGTGGGGGAAGAGAAAGATGCACTGGCAACCGGGATCAAACTCCTCCAATGATCAGTTTGCCATTCATGTCAGACTGCACCATGCCGTGAAGAAACGCGGCCTTGCGCAAGACAACGCCACAAGGCGGCAACAAAAGCAAGCTGCGCGCCACAGCATGAGCGCGTTTCACTGTAGTGGAAGGCCGCGGGCGGGATGACCGCCCAGGAGAGCAGAAGGAGTACGAGCTGTCCGGCAGTATGAGTAGCACGCCGTGTGATGGTACTGGAGGCAGGCGGCGAGGCATCATGCGAAGGATCGCGAGGTCCCGTGTCTGCGCGCGGCGCACTGGTATGTGACGTGAAAGAGCAGTGAATAGCGAAAGCGTTGTGGAGCGCTGTAGTTCCACTGCAACCAAGGAAAACAAGCTTTCAGGAACACGTAGGACCGTGCGCCTGGTGTAAGGTATGGCGGATGTCGCACAGGGTGCACAAATGTGCTCGCAGAGGCCACAGTTCAATCGAGCGCACAACGTAGCTCAACAAACCCACACAGACTCGAGCCGTTCCTCGCAGCGGGCATGCAGTGGGGGCCACAAAGTGGCGGCGAGCGATTGAGGTGAAACATTCTCAAGACATCCTTGAGGTAGCATGGTTGCTGTGCATCCCGGGAGTCTTTGACGAAGTGTGCTAGCGTATACAGTCTCACCGGACGGCAGCGTCACTTGGGCTTGCATCCGCATCGTAGCGTAGTATGTACGCGGAGGGAATGGTAGGGGAGCGCCGAGAAAGCGGCGCGCGCACGCTTCTGCCGTCCCCATCAGGGGCACTCAAACACAGTTCGGGGGCCTGGGCAGCGGGTGTAAAAGTTGCCCCCTGCAGAGTATGCAATTTGCCAAACAAGCATATTCAAATGACCGCACGACGATGTACTCGTGAGCAGTCATCAGCCAAGGGTCTAGCTATTAAAGTCTCGCTCCGTATTTTATTGCCTTGCGTTGCGTGACGCCTGTATATGTTGTGCGCATTGAGGAAGAGTGTCGTTCTCTAGGGAATGGCGGATATTGTCGTGTAATGCTGAGACGATGCAAAGCTATGCTTAGAGGCACAACGCAGCGCCCAGAGACCCTAGGCTCTGATTGGAGGACCGCCGCTTGTTTGACGCCGAAAGAGAAAGGCCCTGTAGTTGCGGCGGTTGCCCGTGAGAGGCGACGGCATCCTATCAGTCTTGCAGAGCCGTTGGCGTCCTGCCGGACACTTTTTCAAGTATGGGAATGCAGTTCACTTCCTGCTTTCGTGCGCCACCCCACGGATGCACTCAAGAAGGAAACCAACGTTCACTTCGGTAGAGCTGCACTTCAATACAAGATATTGTACGTGCCCCGTGAGCCGCGGAGGGGCTGCTGAGGTACCGGCTCTTGCGGGAAAATAGAGCCTCCCGTCATTTTTGAGGCAGACTGCCGGCGGACGACCAGGCGCCAAATCAGAGGGCACGCGAAGCAAGCCTCACAGACGCGACAGCAACACGCCAGAAGAGACACCGTCGAATGCACGCAGGGATATTTGCCGGCGCTGCAGTTGATAGCTTTCATGCGCCAGCAGCGCCACATTGTCAAGGACTTCTGGACCACCCACTTTGCCGAAAAGGCAAAAAGGGTGCTAGTTCGCTTACCGCGAGTCCCGCATTGTAGCTTGATGTAAGCTGGCACAGTGCTTCGGGCACCGTCTGACACTCTCCTAAATATACGGACGAGGTACTGATGTCACGTGTTCGCGTCACAGTCCTGCGACGATGCCGCTGGGACAGCCGGGTGCCTTGTGTGGTCGACTGCATCGTTCACCGTGGACTCGCGCCTGCGCGACACATCAGGGTCAAGCAGCAGATGCAAAAGGTCTGATGAATCTTGCGTGGATACTTAAACGTTTCCCACCAAGGGCCCCTGCATCCTGCGTCAGGAGCGACTGCCTGCAGCTTCACGACACCATGTCGCGGGGGTAGACGTGTCAGAGCGCTGCTGTCGCCACGCCAGCGTCCTCTCTCGCCCATATTAGGAACGTGCAGCGCTGAAGCTCCGTCAAAAGGGGCGTAGGCCCCCATACGGTAGCGCGCGGTTGAGGGACACGCGTTGCGGTGCAGTGGCAAACGAGCCGCTTTGCGATAGGGGGTATACTTCCGTAAGAACGCGCCACGGCGGCTGACTTCCATGCGGCCATCTATCAGTACATAACAGCTATGCATGCGAATACGCTGGAGTGAAGTGGGAGGAAGTGAGCTGAAATGGTCCTGTGCAAAGGCAGAATTCTACTTTGCGGCCGCCGCAGCATCAGCCGGCGGACGGTCTGCCAGTGGGTAGCTGTTGTTCTGAGGATGTCTCAGGCGCGATTGCCTGTGGTAAGAAGATGACGCAGGGGCCTGGGCTCCGACCCGATCCGACGTCCCTGCGTGCACGGGCGCAAGAAGCTCAGGCTGGCCAACCGGCGATCCCCTGCCACTGCAGGCGGGGCGAACAGTTACTGGGTTCTGAATTCCGTGGAACGGTTGACAATCCCGCATCTTTGCTGTAGTGCCGGTCACCGCCGACTGTCTTTTGCGGGAGGATTCCTGGGACTGTCGTCTCTCACATCCTGCCGCCACCCTGACCCCGGCTTCTTGTAAGGGAGAATCGATCAGTACTCTACTGGTGTACATCCGCCACCGGTGTGCAGGCGGCAACAACGCGTGCCTCAGTCCCAAGACAAAATCAGTCCTTAACTGGCGTGTGTGGCACTGTATTTGCTGTCCAGCGGTGGAATTTCTCGCGTCTAGAGAAGGGTGAGTGTTATCGAGTAGACCGCGCCTACGGGGGTAGCAGAGACAAGCCGGCGAACAACGTATTGATGCGCGAGAAGATAGCAGCAAGGCGGAGGCCTCTTCAGGTACAAAAAAGGTAGTATTCTAGGGATTCCGGCTCGCCAGGAAGCAGTGGCTACTAGCGCACAGAATCCAACTGGTCTTATCCAGTCGTTACGCCAAGGGAGTCGACACTACATTTGCATCGCTCTAAGGAGCACTTTAGAGAAACGACACTATTCAGTTGGTCTCGTCGGGTGTGACGGCCGCTGGCGTCTGACAGCTTCAGTGCTGCGGAACTCATGGGCCTCTCTAGTTGAAATTCTCTGGCAGGCGGGCTCGGATGCCGCCGAGCTCCGGGCGCGCCGCTCTTCGCGTACGCGAGGGGGACAGTCTGCTGCAGAAACGACCATCTGCTGATGGCGAAACCTCATTTATAGCTCTTCTTATCGGCCTGGAACCTATGGGAACGCCTTAGATGGGCTGAGTTGCCGAACGGGTATAAAGTGTTCCGTGTTCCGGGTAGGCGGCAACGTCACGCGTCGTATCGCAGGCTCCAGTACGATCTATGAAACATTAGCTGCGACGTGGGGGCCTGGTTGTCCATAAAACTGCTGCAATCGACTTTCCCCTGGTACGTGAGTGACACCTTCTTTTGTAGAGGCGAGTAAGAAGCTATATGACACGTTAATCGAAGGGAAGTGTCTACCGGACCGCGTGAGGGCCGTCGTCACTGTGCAGCAAAAGGAGGCGCGAGGATTGAAGCAGACTACGTGGCTTTTGCTGCTCCGTTCCTTTGGAAGCCCGCTCCTGTGGAACTGATTTCTCTTCTGCTGACAAATGCGGCCATGCACGACTTCGCTTTCCTCGCGTGTTGCCGCGGCCAGGGACCGGTGACCCCTGCGGGAGGGCGGGAGTGGACGGGTTGGTAAAGCGCTGAAGCAGTGACAGTGATTGCCCGCAAGCGTCTCGCCATCTAGCAAGCGTCTCGCCGTCTAGGAATATGCGACAGCTCGGGCTCCTTCTATCCTGGCTTCTGGGAAGCGTTGTGCTGGCGGGCCCGTCAAATGAATACACTTTTGGTGGTCCCAGACGCCGAGCAGCCCGGGGCCGTGAGGCATTCTGCATACGTCGCTCGCATCGGCGCGACAACCATTAGGCGCGATGAGCTATAGCTCCTTTCGGGCGATGCACCACCGGTCGGGAAATGTAGCGCGCGTGATGAGTGGATCGGGGTCAAATCCGCCTATCCTGGGTACTAGATTGTGGTACGAACGTGCTAATGCGTGACCTGGATGGCAGCCCTCATGCGACGGGCACTTTCAAGCGGCGTGTGCTCAATAACTGTTTGTAAATACTACCTGCACATCTACTCCCCCGGCTCAGCAGTTGATGCACGCGAGGTGCAGGACAGACCAACCTGAGCGCCGGATTGAGGATAGAAGTGGAACGGGCGCGTGTTCACTGGAAAGCGCGCTTCACGCGAATGCGTGCTCGATAAAGCACGGGCCAAGTGCAAAAAGACATTAACTGCTACCCCTTAACCCGCAGCGCCCGCCGGGCTGCGAAGAGACTGAAAATGGCACCCGGTCGCGCTCAAATTTGCTAGGGATACGCTAACGAGTGAGAACTCGGCAGCGCCGCATGTGCTCTGCGGCAGTTGGCTTAATACGAAATAGTGTATCCCACATGGCTTGTTTGCGCAGACAGCCGCGCTGCTCCTGCTCTCACGGTTGCCCTGCGGGTGTGTGCCTAGTGAATTGATGCGCGCGCGACGGGCGTACGCTACCTTTCTGTTAGAGGCGAATGAGTAGAGACGGAGTTCACACAGACCGGCGTCTGCCACCAGGAACCAGGTCCGCCAGATCGCGCAGGAGATTAGATCGCGTGGCGCTGGAGGTAGTGAAGACCGGAAACTCTTGTGACAGAACGCCTTACGTGGGATACAGAGATACCACTTAGATGCCCGATACGAGCGGCCTGCACATCTCTTGCGCTGCTGTCAGCGCAGCCGTGCGGGAGAGGAACAGGTGCAGAGTAGATTGCAGGATGCGCGCCGTCTTTAGTAAGTGCTCGACCAATGCACGACTGTTCACGCCCCGTATGACAAGCTTCTCGGCGCGCAGTGTCAGGCTCACAAACAGGGGAGCGCGGAGGAGTACAGGTCGGCGTGTTTTCCTACGAACGACAGGGAAATTGCATCACATTCCCGTGATTCCTTACGACGCACGACGGCGGAGTCAAAGCTCGTCCCAAGGGCAACAAACCTTCCTTTTTCTCCCTTCGGAATAGCGGGTACCCACAAGCTTTCGCGCTGCGTGTCGGGCCGTCGGCTTCCGCTCATTATGTAATGCCGGCACTCTGCTGTGCTATCTTGAAACGTTGTGGCAAAGTGAAACGCTAATGTGCTTCCCCGATGCAGGCAAAGCAGATGCCTGGGAAGTCGCGTGCGTGTACTGCCCGCAGAATGGCGGCAGCCGTAAAAGGCCCCAGGAGAAAACTTGATCTTCCAGTGCTACCCTGTAGCCGCTGTTGCATGGCGCTTTCAACAAAGACGACGTTTGTGTACACAGAGAGAGGTGAGGATACGGCGAAGGCAGGGCCTGTTGGACAGGTCTAAAGCTGTATGCCTTCTACTCTTCATGGCCACGCGTAAGGCACGAAGGCGACTGCTTGTATGTTGTCCGTCGTTTGAAGGGCAAATGCGCTGCTCAGGACGGGACCTTCTTACTGTAGACTGCGGCTCTTTCGCTCTTCTACTAGCACGCTCGACTTCGTCTACTGCGTTGCAGGCACGCTCCCCTGAGGGTATGCGTAGGAGCACTCCGGCTGCGCCAGCTCCAAGCATCTGTGTGGCACCAGTGCTGTGCTTGTTGCGTCCCTCGGGCTCTCGGCGCCGAGAAAAAGGCCATTGCTTGCCCTCGTGCTGCTGCAAACATCGTTTGACTTGACCACGCAGATGGAGCGAGTCTTTGTGTACTATCGCTTTGCGTGCGTAGACCACACGGGGACTTTGTTGCCTCGTTTCTTCTGCGACGGCGGTCGGCCAAGTCTTCGTAGTAGATCCGACATGAGCGGTACCGCGGCGGCAGGCAGTAGGGGCTAGACCGTCACGCCCAGGAATTCTGCGCGCGAACCGCCAGCACTGTCAGTGGGGCGGCGAAGGCGTGCGGTACGTTCTCCCTTCACTCCCTATAAGGCACGTGACATGACGAAGTCTACAGAACGTCCAAACTCGCCGAAGGTGGTCGTTCCGCCGCCTTGTACGCGCGCACCGTTTCGTACCTCACCTTGCTTCCCGCAAAGTCGCTTGGCACAGAAAATAGACAAGTGAGGTGCACACGAAGAACTGGCGGAAGTGCGTTCTTTCCTATGAGGATTTGGCAACAAGCGCTAGAGATTTCCCGTGAATCGGGTGGCGTTTCAACTTTTGAAGACGACGCTGTCGTTGGGCTGACAGCCTCAGGTGTACCGGCGCATGCGAGTGGAAAACTAGTCTAAAATGAAGAACTCATCCGTCTGATGTTCTCGCAGCTTGTGCAGGGCGAAGTCTTCATTCTTAGAAGACACGCTACTGCTGCGCCTCACTGCTTCGTCACGGTGTGCAAAAGAATTTTGCCTGCCGTCCTGCCGTTGACCGCATGGCTCACATGGGCACGCACGTAACGAAAGCCTCGCATGCTCTAGCTTTACGCGCGTGCCCTGCACGACCATGAATGTTGAGGCAAATTCCCTCATCTCACCTATTCTGGCACAGAAAGGGTCTCGTTCTGTCTCAGATTGTGTTAGAGAATATTTTGCGGGCTGTCTAAGATCGGTACCTGAAGAGCTGCCGGGGGAGCAGGCAGTAGGGAGGGTTTTGTCATAGTAGACGTTGCTGCAGACGACCCGTGAGGAACCTCAGCGAGAAGCGTGGCCGGCGAGCGGCACGGCTCTTTGCGGTCAGTTTGTGATGCAGGTGTTGACCAGTCCTGCAGGACACGCAGGCGCTCCGACGGTAGTCGCTCTAGACGCGCGCTCTATCAGAACCCCTTCTTCCATCGGCTCAATCCTATTTGCAGGAAAGAGCGAGAGGAGGGGACTGGCAGAAGGCTTGAATAGTCGGCATTCTCCACGGAGAAACTCTCAGGATACATCGCTATTCCCTTTGGTGTCTGGGATGATAACAAGGAAACAGGACTCAGCGGGCGGAAAAGCCGGCAAACAGCAGACAAAGTCATGCATGGCGCTGTACTAGTCAGCTGCTCCACGCTCGTGCAGCTTCTGTCTTTCACGAATGTCTCTGAGCCGCCCTCATGGCCGGAAGGAGTGACGACACGCTTCATGCCGCTGAGTGCGGAGATGGAAACAAACAACAAGGCTATTCTTTGTGAGCACCTACTAGGAGCACGTGCTCATTCATATATCGGCACATAGGCATGCTGAAGGTGTGAGGCCATCAAGAAACGGACTGAAATAGCTCGAGATTTGCCGGCCAAGACCGTAACGGGGTAGCCGGCGGCGCGGGTGTCCCTGAGAAGGCATCCGGATGTCATATGAGAACAATGCGCCGTACAAAATCGACTGTGACAGAAAGCTATCTTGTCCAAAGTGTCATGGCCCAGCAGGAAATGGCGTGTAGCTACTTTGGAGCATCACTGTGCGGCGAAAGTGGCGTGACGCATTCCGCCGCTCTAAGGCGGTGGCGGAGACGATACTGTGGCCGTGCCCTCTAAAGGTGGCAGCGTGACAAATGCTACGATGCCGGGCGATAACTGATCTCTGACTATTCGACAGAAATCGTTCTCAGAAATCAAGGTAGAATAACGTGTAGTACTCTGTTGTACGAGTCTGGCTCTGTGTGGAGAGTAGAGCCCGCAGCAGGGCTCAGATGCATCATCGTGTCCGCCGGGGTACACGCAGGCAGGCATGCTTTGGGATCTTCAACGAGAGAAGGCAGGTACGCGTCCGGAAAGTGCTTGTGTACCTGCCATACGGTCGGGACCTAGCGAAAAGGAGCAAGGCGCCACCAATTCTCTTCAGGTATCCCGTTCCCTTCAGATAGACGCTGAGCACGTTCTTAGGGACGCTGGCTGCAGTAGTAGCCAAAGCGGAATGCGTCGACTGCCACTGCATCCGTACAGCGTTGCAGTGGTTTGGTGGCGTCCCCGTGATGCTTAAACAGTCACAAGTGCAACTGTCAGTGACGCCACTGCGCCCTGCGCTTTAGTCTGCTCTGTAGAGTAGCTGTGAGGTGACGTGCAGTGTACCAGAGCCCCCAGTGTAAACACACCCGCACGTTTTTTTGTTCGACGGGACAGAAGGTAGACATCGGAAACTCGAGCGATAACAGAGGGTTGCGCGGCTATAGAGACTGTTTGTTGCACAGAGGTACTCGTCTGCGCTCGAAGGAATTTCATCGTGTCAGCAGTCACGCTTCACACCTATGCTAAGTCAGATACACGGATACGGTATCTCACAGGAGAACGACACCGCTGCGCGAGGTCCTTGTATGCACTGACTTGCGCGGATCAAAGACGAAGTTCGTCCGACTAGTTTGGTCACGCAACCAGCTGTTGTTCTCGAGAGTCGTGGCAGACGAAGCGGGGCCTCTACCGGAGCTGATGACTTGAACCGGAGAAGGTGGTCAGATATGAAACCTTACTGCAGGGCCTTCGCGAAGACTTGAAGAGGCAACCACTTGCTCTCCCTGATGTACGGAATTGTAGGAGGCATCAAAACCGGGTACCTAGGAGCGTCGTCCGTCTCGTCGGAATCTTCGCACGAATAAAGGAAGACAGGATTCCGTGCGTATGTCTTTAGTGTGCAGATAATGGATTACTAAGTCGACAGGGCGCTGGCGCAAGTGGCGTAATTGGCTTGTGGATGCTGGCCATCAACCTGTCCTCATGCGTGCCACGAGCGGAGTAAGCGGCACCGTTTCAATAGTTGACCGGACAGCAGATTATGCGCTCGCTTTAGGCTGTGACGCAGGGGTGTGCCCAGGAGCAAAAGGATAAGAATTCACTTTGAGGTTTCAACGGGGTTGAGCTCGCAACAGTATTGAGAGGACCGCGCTCCCTGACAGGCGGGTGCAGTGGTCTGGTTCCTAATGCGTTCGACCTGGATCGGCAGTGGCTTTCTGGTACCACGGCGTTACGCGAGGCGAAGGCAGAGAACAAGTGTCGACAGTACGCGTTGAACTCCCTACAGTACCGTACGCCAGGACGAACTGCATGTCGAAGCGCAGCATCAGGCTCAAGTGCTGCGCTTTGCCGTGGATAGCATGTAGGGCCGGTTTCTGAGAACGCCGTAGACGCTCTGTTTTGCCGGCGCTTGCATCGCAGAGCTCACTGCACAGCATAAACAACTCAGCATCGTCGAGAAAACTTTATGAACTGTCTCCGTGGCTGGCAGGCCCGATGGTCGCGGTATCGGACGCCTTTAGTTCTGCAAAGGTGTGATGGTCCGTTTGCAGCGGACACGCACGCACTGCCTGGTGTGCAAGGAACCCGCGCCTGTCTTAGCAATGTCTTGTGGAAGATGCTCTCATGGAGCAGCCCTCGGAGATAAAGGCTCCCACAACGACCAGCTCTCTCTTGCCACCGCCGCCGAGGGGTTGACCGCATCTGGGCTCCAAGGCTTGAGACAACATGAATGAGCCCCTACCGAAGACCCCTTGGTGTTACAGTGTTACATGAAGAGAAGCGTGATGCTAGCCAGAAAGGTTACTGCCAGAACACGGAAAGTCGGTGCTGCACGCGCCTCGTCAACGCGAGTGATATGGGGACCCTTCTACTGGATCTATAGGCATCCGCTACAGGCTTCTGATTCCATCGCACTCGGTGGGTGCGCCTGCGGTCTCCTCAGAGGATGCCGATGATGCCGGCACAGCTCGTCTCGTTCAGGACACAGCACGATCACTCGATCGCACAAACTGAGTGGTCGGTCCTGTGGCTTGTGTCGCGGAGGGCACTCTTACGATAACTATCTGAGCAGTGCAGATAGTGCAGCTTCCCGCTTCTGTTAAATGCCGCGTACGTGGAGCTGCGCTGGCCGCCTTCGGTCTGAAGCTTCTGCATGTCTGCTGGAATGAAGCAGCTGAAAGATTTGCACGCCAGGACACTCTGAACGTCGCACGCAAGCACTATATCATCGTGAATAGCTAGGCAGGCCGCCCGCTCCCGTCAGCCCTGAACACGAGTGCGGGTGAGCGATTGTCGGCTCCTTCGATACAGCAGCCCGCAGCAGTATTCAGCAGCCTTGCCTGAAGTTTTTTCCCCTAGGATAAGCCGTTCGGGGGCGACGACTGCAAGCAGAGACGGCTGGAGCTTGAGGAGCGGCCGCGACGCCACCACGCCTAAGTAACAGTGTGCCTTGCACTGTATTAGATAGTGCGCTGCACCCTAACGGTCGGCACCACTTCCGTGGTCGCATCGCCGTCGCACAGATGCAGCCACTTGCGTGGTCGCATCGCCGTCGCACAGGTTCAGCGGCTCATGCGGAATGATTCGGCTTTCCTGTATGGACAAACTCTTTGCAGGCGAGGGTGAGGGACGTCTAAGGCAAGTTTCGTGGCGGCGGCGTTGCTGAGAGCTGCTGGTACCTTCTTCTTGCAGGAGAACCATATCCGCGTCCGCTCTGATATCCCGAGCGGGTAGTGTGCCTGTTCTCATAACCTGGTCTGAGGGTGCGGCCTGCCCTGTCATTTGAGGCCTTGCAAAGCTTGTTACCGGATGAGCTGGCGTCCAGGGAGTTTTGTGCCAGGCATGTGGTCACAATATTGCCTGAGACTATGCGTTCTTCCATCGCGCATCGCATCACTGCAGCAGCTGGTAAGAGACGGCTACTGCATGATTTTGCAGTTCTCGGCTTCTTCTGTGGAGCGGATGGCATGCCATAACAAGCATACGTAACAATATCGTGACCGCTACACTGCGTGGGACTCAGTCGGGCGGTAACCGAGCTCAACTTTGGCAAACTTATGGGAGACGTTGTTCTTCTGAACGCGCCAGACGTTTTGAAGCGTGATGGGTGCCGACAGGCACCGGTATCCGCTAAACCACCCGGCGGCCCAAGGAGCCAGGACAAGAACGTATGTTTCCTCGAGCGTCATGCTGAGGAGGTGCCGCCCCCTCTGTGCGCGACTGTAGCTCTTTGCATCGCGTAGTGGCGTATATATATATATATATATATATATATATATATATATGCCGTTTCACCCATGCGGTCCACCAAGGCGAGATTCGCCGTAGGACGCGGTGGTCACACTGCACAGGGCATGGAGGAACACCGTGCGGCTGAGCACGAAACCGCGGGGGGATATCCAGGGTCCTTGTAGTGCACCGATTGTCTGCCGACAAAATTTGAGGCAACAGCACGCGGTGAGTAGGCGGTATTCGCCATTGTACAGGGGAGACCGTGCATCAGCGGAGTGCATCATTCGAGGTGAAGACGGAAATGTGGTATGAGACCGGGAGGCGCATAACGAGGGAGCATGCTAGAGGATATGGTAACCTGCAGCCTGAATTCATTATTGTGGAAAAAGGCTACTAGTGGCAATCTGCCCTCAGGTGCACCACCATCCACGCGGCAGCGCAAGGATGCAGGCAGGCAAAGAAGCATTCCAGCGGCGTGCTGGTAGAAGACATGCGTTTTTGTGGCACCACCAGCTGGAACTAGGCAAGAATGACAGAGGCGTGATTTACTTGTTCGTCCTAGCAAGAGTGCCTAGTTCAGCACAGCAGTTCAGCATGGTAGACATTTAGGAGACGGACTGCAATACTGCGCAAGCAGAGCCGGTCGGCCCCTGAGAGGTTGGCTGGACGGTTTTTACGAAGAGGCCGCGCAGTCGCAACTATGGTGTCCTGCGTTTGCGGGACTTTCGCCGTTCTGAGTGCGGCCCTGTCTGCCTTCCGTGTTGTGGGTTCCTCTGAGGCGGCCCGAAGCGCGGCCCGAAGCCGTACAAAGGACGCCCACTGTAATTTTGGTATTCGTCATGAGCAGCAGCAGACAAAAGAGAAGCTTACAGAGCGTACAGGATCTTGGCGCGGCGTATCGGATGTAATGTTCGTGAATGTGTTTCCGGCCGTGCTGCGCGGCAGGTGCTCCACCCCATTGTCATTCAGCACACCCACGGCCCTTCGAGGCCCAGGATACCTCCGTAAGAATACAAAGAGCCGACGTAAAACTCTCCGAGAGGCTTTCTCGTTGATTTGGCCTAGCTTTTGTTTGTCAGCTTCCTTGTCAGCAGCAGGCGCTACCTGCCGGCACGGCAGATAAGTCACAGCGCTCTGTGATGTCTCTGCGCAGAATGGTCAACGCTATCGTGGCAAGCCAGAGAAGCGCGAGTCTCAAGAGCCTGCGGCTGCTTTAGTTTGTCTCTCTTCAGCGTTTTTTATCGTACCTCCCTGTAAATCCACAAATACGAAAGAGTTAGAATACATGCTGTGCGCACATCTCTTCAGAAAACGAGGGAAAGCTGGAACAATCGGGCGCCGCTTGCATTTACGACCGTTCCGGCTGCAGCTAGGGACAAAGGTGCTCGCGTGCAGAAAACACTGTGGGTAGGGCTCTGATTTACAGGTGAACCCTCGTCCTGAAATTCTCCTCGCCGACTAAACGAGCGCTACGCGGTAGCTTCTTGCATCGCAATATCGGACATAGTGAGTGCGGACGAATGCCAGGTCTCCTGTCGTAACGCGCTGGCCCACCCGACAGCGGAAACATTGTTTGAGGCAAGAAGTGGGGCAAATTAGATCTACAGCGCGAATACATGGAACTGTACCGCGAGTGAACGATCGCCGCCCACGCTCGCAGTGCAATCAAGGTGAATATCGTGCGTGGTATTGTGCGCAGGCTGGGATAAGCGAGATACACCGCCAATAAATGCTCGACAAAATGGGCTGTCTATCATAGCAAAGCCCGACTGGTTCACGGTGCGTACCTCTTTCTCAGCTTCTAGCTCAAGCACGGTGTAGGGCCCGCAGCCACGCCTCACTGCGGGAAACATCTCACTTCTGCCTCCTGCATACAGCAATAACGTTTGCGTTTTCACAGCCCCTCTGCCACTCTCTCTCCCTCCATCCCAAAAGGCGCCCCGTAATCTGGAGGAGGATGATCCGTCCGCGTGTGCCTGAGTGTACGAGAGCCTCCTACTTCCGCGGCGATGTGTTGTGTGGTGGCGGTTGTGACTGCGGTTTGGCCAGCGTCCTGCCGTGGTCTCACACGATATCCCTACCATAATGAGACGCAGTACATCTACGCTTGTCCAGGCGACTCGCGAGCGCCGCAGGACACCTGGCTAAATTTGCATTAAATAATCTGCCTCTGCGACCAACTGCTTTGAGTGTTGCAGCCGTGGACGGTCCGAGCAGAACCCCTGCTCCACCAGCTGTATGCTTGTCTGCCGGTGGGAACATGTCCGACCGAGGACAATGCGTTGCTACTCAGATGCGGGTGAGAGGCTGGTTGAAAGCTTGACTCCCTCACGATTTTGAAAGGGGTCTTGCGCTTAGTAGGCACTTCGCGCGTCTACACCAGGTCCAAGGAATGCTTGTTGAGAGCGAATTGCCCAACCAGATCCAGTATCTTCGCAGGAAATCGCACACGCCGGCCGCATGCACCAAAGGAAATGGCGAAGCCTCGTGCGGTTCACTCCCCAGCATGTGTAACCTAATGCACGAGCTGCTCGGTCCTCGCTAAGTTGTGTGATGCCCAGGTGCTGCTGTAGGGCCCATTGTGCTTAGCCTGGCGCCCACTGTCGTCTACTGCCTTGTGGTGACTGCTGCTCCGCTCGATGTTGTGGCCTTCAGCAGGGAGCCATCCCAGCCTTCTGGGTCTCGCTGCATTTGATCTGCCTCGGCGGGTGGCCCAGCAGTTTGCACGCTGCAATTCTACATGCTCGTATCTGCACCACCGCTTTACGGCTTGTGACATCTTGCTTGTGGACAGCTGTCTTGCCGATGAGCGAAGAGGCTGCTTTGCTGTTCTACGAAAGACTGTTTTGCTCGCTTTACAACATTTCAGTGAGTGGGGGTATTGTGGGGGAGGCAGCCTCAAGGGGGAAGGATATCGCTGCCGGAGTTGATAAGGTCGAACTGGGTAGGTGTCGCCAACGCGTTCGCACACGGGCAGCACGATTGTATTCTCCTGTTCGATTATGCAGTGGGTGAAAAAGCCTGCCTTCGGAGGCGGCGCTCCGTGGTAATCATTTAGCGGTAGAGCGCAATGTACTTTTCCCTGGTGAAGACTTTCTCCTTAGAGAAGCGTAAGTGATGAATTCAGGCAGATTTTTTGGTGGCCGCTGTGTTCTTGTGGTGCTCTCGTGTGTTGAGTAGACCTTACTTTGACAGCGTCGAGACCTGGAGGGTGCGAGGTCTTTCGCCGCGTGGTAGTCTGCGTGTGAGGCAGCGTGCCGTGTCGGACTGAGTGAGCATCCGCTAATTCTGATGTGTCGTGGCGGCCGCCAGGACTCGGCTTCCGCTGGCCGCACTGGGGGCTTGCACGGCTAGGAGAAGAGACTTTATGTAGTCAACCGCAATGGCCGACAGACAGCAACGACGTATTCCTGCGTAAGCTTCCCAGTGACGTCACACACAACCATGTGTACGAGCGCGTAGCCATGTACAGGGGATGACGGCACGTAGCACGGCGCTTGTAAGGGATAGACACAGACCGCCGCACCGAATGGCGCGACAGCAGCTGCCTCATCGTCTTGAAGGAAGCCTCTCAGGCCGACACCACGTCTACCTTGTCGTGCACGCCGTGATGCGATTCGCGCGGCGTAGCATCAGGTACCGGGCGCACAACAGAAGATTCGGTGTTTTTGCATGAGGGAGTCGTAGCACACTATATCCGCATAGAGGCAGTCGATGGAGCGGCGCGTCGAGCACGGGGGTCACACGACCTTGTTCCGCGTTGCCTGAAGCGTGGAAAGCCGGGGCGAAAGGAGTCAGCGGCTGCGTCAGGCGAGAGATAATGGATTGTGTGGCAACAGGAGGCGTATTCAAAAGTAAGGAACGAGGGTACACCCTAAGCTCTAGCGACCTGTACCGGGGCTGCGTGCGCTTGCAATATGGCACGAGCGCGTGAAAGCAAGCAGGCGATTGTCATCTCCAGCCGCAACAGAATATAGTGCGAACAAGGCTGGTAGAGCAAGCGGAGGCGGTCTGAAAGGACGAGGACGTGAAAGACATTCGCTTTACATCACACTCTTCGTCGAGACATCGCTTGCTTTGCGAATCGTACAGGACGCCAACTGCCGAAGTACGATCAGAATGCATTGAAATGCCAACAGAACGCAGAGCGTTTATGTTCTTCGGTGCGTCGTTTTCCTGTGTCGGAGGGTTCCAGTGACTCAGCCAAGCACAACACTTGCCGCCGGGATTCTGTGCAATTACGTGCAGTTTAGCTCCGTGACGCACTCAAGTGTGCGTCGTAAGGCTGGACGAGACCTAAACGTGAACGCTGCTGTGATCACTGGCGACGCACCACATAAACGAGATGGTGGAAACGCAAACTTTGCCTTTCTTTACTCTTGAGCCTCTCCCGCTTTCACAGGCGTGTATGGCTGCGATGAGCGCAGCGTTCGGTTCAGCCGCCCCCAGTCTCCGTGTGGTCTACTGACGCATAGGATACCGCGGAACGCGCGCTGCGAGAAAGCTCGTGGGCAGTGATTCCTCCCTGATCACTGGTCGCCCTGACGCACTGCGTGCCCGCCCGCATGAGATGCAGAGCCCTAGTACTTGTTCGGAACGAGTTTAACAACGGGACTAAGACCTGTAAAGTGCATAGAGAGGTCGCATCCTGCACACGGTAGGTCTAGCGCGGCCGGACTGTTTTCCGGAACAGGTGCGTACAGGTTCGCGGGGACGCCTGGAATAAAACGCTGTCAACTCTTTTCGGTGCAAACGTGTGTGTGTGATCTTGTGCATACCTGCTGGACAGAAAAGGACTGATCCTCATGTGCGTCCACTTCTAGGTGTGACAGAAATGGGGTGCTGAATAACGGCGCCCTGGAGGTCTCTTCGCTGACAGTTGGGCTCGAGCTCCCGTCTCCTCCTTGTCGCATGAGTCAAAAAGCCATGTCATGGCTGTGCGCCCTGTACAAAACTGGGAGATTCTGCGCGGACACACGTTTTTCGGTAGCAGCTCGTTCATCAGACCACAAGGCCGGCTCCTCAGGGCGCCGTCTCTGCGTCGCAAATGCGGACTCGAAAGCGTAGCGTGGTGCGAGAGCTAGAACAGCGGAGCTGATGTGCGACTGCAGTTGGCTCGAGTTGAGGTCTTCGACAGGACTCGGGCAGTTTTCCTCTGGAGGACGTCGCCGGGACAGAAAAGGTCAAGGTCCCAACGAGCTCTAGATCATCCGTCACCCGTCGACGCACGCGCTCACTACGAACAGCCACAGGCTTCTCTACATGCGCAATCCCCATCGAGATGCACTAGCACATGGCAGAGGTGACACCCGAACTAGAACCGACTCAAAAGAGCATCTCGCCCTATGCAAATAGGACTGTCGAACCGCGAGCACACAGAGCCAGATGTAACTGAGTGTGCGGACAGACCTAGGACGGCGTCGCGGCCCCACGAGCTTCACGAAAACCGCACGTCCCTCTTTGGGTGAGTACTGCGCGCCTCCTCAGTCTAGGAGGGCATGCATATATTAACGCAGTACTGCACCCGAGCGGTATGCTGTGACCACGTGTTTGCAAGCGCGACCCGTCAAGTGAAAGCTGTGAAGAAACCAGTTTTTTCATCACAGAGGAAGGTGAGAGTCCATTTCTGGGTGAGGCAACAAGCGACGCAGTGTTGTTTGCACTTCTTGTGTCTGTTTCAATCTCCGCCATTGCATGGAGAGGGTGCCCTGCCTGCTGCGTACGCCTGCACTGCAGCGCCACGCCATGGTTTGTGTTGTCTAGTGGGGTGTGGACAAGGAGAGAACGACGGTTCCTGTGCAGAATACAGCCTAAAGAGTTCAGTGCGCAACGTGATTTTTCGATAGCGTCCGGTGCGTCCCTGTTGCGCTTCTTCTACAACAGCACCGCAGTCGCCGCTGCTCTGTGGACTCTCCACTTCCCTTCAGTGCCTCGCATTGTTATGTGCGCTCTCGCGCGCCGCGGCGCTGGAGACGTCCACGATTCTGCTGCCATCTCTGTGATGTCTGGCTGTTTTGGGTGGGGAGCAGAATGCAACATTACATTACAAAAACTAGTTGTACTATCTGTGACCGATTACTGGGAACATCTGCGGCTCGTTGCTCGTAGGGTCCTTTTCCAGGTGTACCCGAGAAAGACTGTTCCCGCATTTCTTGACAATGTCACACTCGAGGAAAGTGTCCTTATCCGTGTACCGCCGGGAAATAGGTCTCTACCGGGCGTCACATGGGGTTTAGCAGGGGGGATTTCGCCGGGGAGGTCCTGTATCCAGCTACGTGAAGACTCCCGTGCATACTTGGTGCACTGCTAGAGAAGGCCTGCTTCAAGGGAATACGTTCTTTGGGATGTCCCGGTCGCGCCCCACACATACGCGGCTGGTCGTCCGCGCAGTATGATCTTCCATCGCGGACACGTTCTTTCTGTGTGTCGGCCGGAAAGACGCGGGCACTGTAGTCTGTAGTGCCGGGCGTGCCCTTGAGGGAGAACCGTAAAGCACAGCAAACATTCTTGCAATACTCTGCGACGTCTTGCGAGTGTAGTTCCTTCGCAGAGAGAACTCTGAACGCTAAGGTGGGCTGCCGCATACGCTGTGCCAAAAGGCGCAAAAACCCTTTGCCGTAGACTTGCTCGGTCCTGTCTTCGATTTCGTCGCGTCTGCACGCCAAGCCACCACGGCTGAACAATTGAGCGCCTTTCCGCAGCACGTCGAGCTTGAGAAGCTGCGACGGCTGGATCACGAAAAATGCGGTGAGGCAAGGCGGCGGTCTCCAGTGGCGCGAGGAAGCTCTATTCAGTCTATACAGAAGATGTACGCTGGCTACTACGTGAGGCAGTGGCAAAGAGTACAGTCGACCTCCCGCAAAAAGCTCCTATTGTAGAAGATGGTCGGCTAACCCGAAATCGCAGCATAAAGTAGTAGCCAGACGCTGCGTGGTGGCGCTCTAGCGCACGATTAAATGTCAATGGGAGCTATTTCGGACTGTTTAAGCCGGACGACCGGCGGATTTTCTGTGGTTGCGGTACTGCTTGCGGTACTGCCCCCTGTAACCTTGTTGGCGGGCGGCAAGGCGTGCAGCGACGAAAGGGGGGCTCCTGTGCCTGAGAACAGTTCGCGAGGCTGAGAAGGTAGTATACTAGATGATTCGCTGTTTTGCTGTGATGGGGGTCCACTGGCTGGGGCGAGATTTCGCAACGTCGCTCGACGTGCTTAGGAAGAACTGGTGGCCATATTTGCCTTATAAGGTACATAGCGTCCCACGCCGACTCTTAGGTCCGTATAGGCCGGTGCCCCATGGCGTGTTTGCGGCGGACAAGGCCGGGATTTTGGTAATGCGATACGAGAATGAAGGCTGTTTGCCACCTATCTCTGGATTTGCGGCTGGACGTACTTCATCTGGGGCGCGGAGTCGTAGGATTAGTTTCCGCAGCTGGAAGGTATGTAAAGCGTTCGTACTTGGCGGCGCGCGCACGAGCTCCGGCGTTTGCAATAGAGCGCGGGACGCGATTTCTGTGTATACTTAAATGCTATGCTCATGCTAGTGTTCCATTCTCTTGTGCCTGGAGAAGCCGCTCACTGCAACTCGACTGCAGCAGAACGGCTTCGGCTGGCACTAATTGACCATTGTATTTTCGGTACGCACGGGAACCGCTTCGAGGCATGATGAGTGTTTTACGCATCCTTCGACAGCCGTAAGTCCAAAAACGCTCGTACTGCTTCGGTAGCGCTTCTGCGCAGGCTGGACTGCGGGCAGCTGTAGAAGCGACGGGTGCACCCTGTGTGTGATCGCCATGAGGGTAAACAGCAGATGTCGAGGGAGGCACGGTCGCGCACCTGGGCGCCAGCTACTCTGGACGGTGTTTCTGTAGGCAAAAAATCAGCGGGGGCGACCGCCATATCGCTGTGCTCACTAGTACTCGATAACGAATAGGGGGACCGCGTGCTGAGGCTACAGGTGCCTGGAGGAGTCACTCAACGCGTGTGGACCTCCACAGACCGTTACGCGATGTGTCGGTGAGACCGTGTTCGCTAAGTGGGGGTGCGAATTTGTATGAAGCGGCCAGAGAAAGTTGACAGCTTCGGCGCTTTGCGTAGGGAAGCTGGTCGCCGCCTAGCTCTGCTTCAGATTCTGCTGTCAAGTCCGGTTAGCTGGCATGAGTACGCAGACCGCGTGTACAAGCGGGCTGATGCGCGAAAGAAGGCTCGTGCAGGCAGCCTGTCTTTCGCGGCTGTACGCGTGCTGCCAGAGGCATTCTGGAAAACAGGAAAGTTCATCTTCTGTGCCTACCTGCCACACCACGAGTGCAGGCGACGAGAAAGGCTGAGTTGCATCTAGATGCTTTGCAGCTGAATGCACGGAGCCGCGTAGCGCCACGACTTTCAGCGTCCTGTAGAAATCGCTCTTCGGGTTAAAAAAAAGGTCTCGCCAGCAACCCAGGGGATCGGCGACGTGTGGACTGAGGAAGAAACAGCGCATCGCGCTGAACTCGCCTCCGGCCAGAACAAGGGGGGGAAGGAAGCCATAACGCGACACGTGCAAAGGTACACCCCTGCGATGCGCTGACCTTCGAAATGAGCCGGCGTCAAGAGAGTCTCAAACGTTCGTCGCGAAACAAACCTGAGACTTGTGACAGAGCGTCGGCTCCTCCCTCTGCCGTAAGTACCGTTTTTTTCGGAGAGAATACGTTTCCACAGCTCTGCTAGTCGAAATTAGTTCTCCTTTGTGCCTGCGTCTGCCCCACTCCCAGTATGCTCGTCCCTCGCACGACGACGTTGGAACAAGTCTCAGAGCCCCGCTGCGATGCTGCAGACGCACAAGGTTGCCTTGCAGGGTCGTATGTGTTCTTCATGGCGCAGACGCTTCAGCTGACCAGCGGCGTCTGCCAGGGAACCCCAGCAAACTCCGGATGTCTTGCATATTTCGCGTGAGAGAGCGGATGTGCTTGGGAGGTCTCCTGCATCATCAGGAACGCGTGTCTCTTGATGGCACTGTGAACGCGGTACAGCATTTGAGGGCGCCGCTGTCACAGTGACGTCGCCGTCGGCTTCCGCGTGGCGAGGAGCCGCTGAGGGCCGCCTTATCGCTCGATCTCTGTGGAATGGAGAGCTGGACTCGGACTGTGTAAGCGCATGTCGGAAGTCTCTACTCGGCTAGTCGACTGTGTACCATCGCATCTAGGTTGAGTGGCAGTTCCTCCACCAACGCGTCAGAGTTGGCAGTTTCTACATATATATATATATATATATATATATCACTAATAGACGTGCATACGCATCCACACAGACGTACAAAAACATGCACATACAGGCCTTGTGCGCGAGTCCTGCGCGGAACCTCAGCGGTACGCTAAAGGGAGCAGGACGTTCGCAGGCAGCGGCGAGTTGCAAAGGCGGAAGTGGATTGGATGCCGACGAGCGTCCTCCGCCGAACAGCATCTCAAAAGTTCAGCGCAGGAGCTATACATAAAAGGAGCACACGCGCAACATTGCGTGTAGCAACACTGGTAAATTGTTGCAACGCTCATTGTGAACCACCGGAAGTTCCCCTAGAGCAGCTTCCCAGTAATTGTCTTCCAAGGACGGAGAAGAATTCAGCATTTCCGACAGCTTCGGGCCCCCTGCCTGAGGCACGTGCGTTTACCCGTGCTGGGCTGGCTCGCCTGTTTGTATGGAAGGCTCTAGACCGTTTTGTTCCAGGGAATGTGCATCCGCGTCTGATTTTCACAGATTCAGCGAAAATTGGCAGGCGACCGAGTTGCTTCTGGTTGTTAACGCAACGCCTCTCTCAGGATGGTTATAAAGCAAGAACGCAGTGGGCGATTCTCCGGCATGCAGGATGAGGTGAGAGTTGGCGACCGCAGACCCTTCGCGGAGAAAGAGTAGCACTTGGGCCGGCAGAAATAGTTCTTCTTCTGAGGAAAACAGCAGACCGCCATTCGACCCCAAGTGCCAAGGCGATATACAGTAGCAACGTCATCTTTCCAATCGACAGGGGGATGCTAGAGCAAAACGCTGACCCGGTCGGCGCCCGGCTCTTAGTTAAGAAGAAAAGAGGCTTCTTCGTCTCGCTGGACAAGTTACTGGTTGTGTCTGTCCTTGAGGAGATTCCGCGTTTACAGCGGTACGCGGGGGTGAGCAGCATGGCGGTTTGTAGAGAGAAGTAAGGACATAAGAAGGACGAAATGGCGAGCTGTTCAGAGTGGGCAGGTGTGCGTGACTTTGTCATTGTGCGACCGAATGAGGTACGAATGACAAATGTCGAACTAAAACGCGCGGCTTCGTCTGTGCCAGTTTTCCTGTTTTTCGACTGCTCTCGCTATCAAGGCACATTTCTGCTGAAGTCACCCTTTGCCGGGAAGGCGACGGGTGTGTCCGCACTCGTCGCAGAAAAATCGTAGGGGTCCCCGTTGGAGAATGGCGCCTGCTGCGTCTGCGCTAGAGCTGAACACTAACCTCTTGTGTCTGCAGCCGTACTCAAAAGCTGCGACAGATAACCGTCGACCCTACTGACTCTGCGTGGGTGCAGCGGCCGGCGTAATAACCAACTACATAGTCTTTCTTCCGCCGCACGTCCACAGGCGCCCGATTGTTGAGCTTTTTTCCCCCAGCCTTTCGCAGCAGGTAATGGCAGGCGGCACACACGCGGGCCCCTTGCCTTAGCCCGACGCTGCACCTAAAGACGTCAAAGTCGTCAATCAGGTGGGCTAACACTTTCGAAGCCCCTGGATGCAATCGGCTCTTCTAGACTAACGCACGAAAATATACTCATGATTTTGCGGTGGGCGAGTAACTGCCATACAATTATCGCCTTTGTCCAGCAGCTTGGGATCAACCTTGTGTTAGGAGTCATTCGTACCGTCAGCAAGCCTGCTTTCACTACGACAGTATGCGTTAAGGCGGCAGTCCAACGCCAGACGAGTCGCAGCGCATGCCCAACTGTCGGGGATGCACTGGGCGTAAGTGTCCTGCAGACGACCGAAAATATCAGAGGTCTACTCCTGTGGATGATGCAGATCTACTCCAGTGGTCCAATGTATTTGACTACGTGAGTCGTGGCCACAATAGTCGTCTGCCCGAAGTAGGGACATACTGTCCTCCGTGCGCAAACAGAGAGCCTGAATTCGCCGCCTACAGTACTCTCATATGGAGGGGCGATATTGTTAGATCCGTTCTGCAGCTCTGTTGAAACCGCGACAGCCCCTACCGGAAAACTGTCCTTTGTGTCCTTCGGCAATATGGCTGAACACGGAAGCCTCCAACCCATAGCATATATCTGCACACTGGAAACGTTCACTGCGAATGGGGAGACAGGCTACGCCGCCCGGGTTATCCGCACCAATGCATGCCGTCAGCTTCTTCTCATTGGGCCTGCCCGGAGCGTAAATGGCGTCAGTTCTTATACGCAACTGAGCAGAGGTTGAGCGCATTCTGTTGTTAGTCTGTGCGGAAACCGCCTTTCCGGCACACGACACCTGCGAGGTGTTAGTGCCACGCTGGGGACAAGTACGACGCGCAGCGCTTGCGAGACTGCGGCGTACTGTGTTGGACTGGTGCAACGGTAATGCATCTTAGTCCGGTAGGACTGGAAGGCTCCGCACGCGTCGCGCAACGCAAGCGAGACAGCCGGATGAGGCTGTCAATGAGCACACCTTTTTCAAAGCCTCTGTAGTGTGGACATGAGGGATCTTAATCTTCCAAGCGCATAATCGGCGTGCGCAGCCAGGCTCACGACCGGCATTGCCGCGTATGTCAAATACAAACGGCGTGTTCTCCGAACCTGAACGTCCGCATCTGGAGGCCCGGCAATTCCGGGCATGGGGCGAGGCAGCAGTGACAGGACGCCAAGGTAGAAGGGAAGCTGACAGGCCTCCCTGCGTTATAGCGACCAGGGACCTCCAACGCTCGACACTGTGGGCCGGGTGGATGCAGCTATACACTTGAATACAGAAACAACCCCCGCCATGGTGTCGAGCGTCATCTTCTTCGCAGTGCTCAGGAAGGTATCTCTCCTTGCACGAGTTGACCAGGGACCTGTGAGGTCGGCTGAGCGAAGTGCGAAGCGAACACCACTCCGGTCGCAAGACGCGGCGTTCTTTCCTGGAACTGAAACGTCGCTGGCACCTGGTTCCGTACGCTCAACCGTCAAACTCTTCTTTCTTTCCGTGGCCGCCCGAGCGCGAAATCCAGAGTCAAACTTCCAAAAGAGAATGGTGAGAGGCCGGTGGATGACGAGCCACCCCGCCAGCCCGACAGGGGGCTTGGCGTGACACGCACCTTTTGTACCTATTATAGGCATTCGCAGTAGATCCGGCCACACTTTCGTCCGCTTGGAGCTTGCGTGATCGCCCGAGTGCTCAGTCGCGACGCGTTTTCCGAGAGACGTTCTAGTAAAAGCCGGGAGGAGCACGTGTGTCGCTCTATTAAATAAACAGTCTGTCGCACAAGCTGCTGGTTGATGTTATATATTGCCACGCAGGCGCATCGCTTTGAGGACAGATACAGGAGCAGTGCGGCTACAGACGCAGCTTCTGCGACGCTTGCCTTCCTGTTGGTGAACAGTAAAGCTTTTGGGCAATCGTGCTCTTGGCTGCATCTCATGTGTGAGTATATGGGCCCCTTATCTGCCTGCGCCCTTCGGCTCTACATCTCTAATCTCCAGTGTAATAACGGCAGTCCGTCGTCGGTGTGTGTTTACCCGAGGCCTGTAAGTGGTATTGTCTTGCGAGTTCCAATGAAATTGTCTCCCGAACTTCCGCCACTGCTCTGACCGCGAGACTCTAGCGTGGCAGGTCGAAGGGCTAAGACTGTCCTTGACCTGTTTGCTAGAGTAAGGCAGTCGGAGCTGTCGGCCACGCGTGAAAATGCCTCGGCATATATTTTTGTAGGCTTCTGTAGTGCGCAGCTTGCCAAAGTCTTCTGCGCGATCAGGTTCTCCCCTTAAAATCTCGGAGCCGCCTCGCGGGTGCACACACTGTTGTTACAACGTCAGAGCCATCTATCGTGCATACGCTGTTCACAGCAACAGGTGAGCGACGACTACATTTTGTGATGATCGACTTCTTCTCCCGGGACATACGCCCGCTGCGTGAAATTTCTGCTGAACGGCCGGGCTTTTCCTGCGGTGGACACAGTCGGGCAAGAGTCTTGACAAGGACGTGTATACCCGTAGACCACCGCTATATACGTGAAGCGCCGGTGCTCACTCCCTGCCTCGGTCATCCCTTTCCTAATTCGGAGGCTAGACCGTTACGCGGGACGGTCCATTTTGTTCAGTGCCGGAGCTTCGAAAGATAGAATACACCACGACAGACTGAGGTCCTTCCAGTGGCGCGTACGCGTCCGCCTGTAGGCGTGTGGCCGGAAGCACATTGGATCGGACGCGGGTCTGCAATCGGCAGATGTAGAGTACAAACGTTACTGTAGGGAGCGCAGCCGACTCAAAAGTGAGAGAGTCTCGCTCTCCTCTTACAGCTAGCCTCTTCACGGCACAGAGTGCATCCAGCATGGAGCACCAGGGGGTGTTCAGTGCCAAAATGCAGGTTCGGACGGGAGACCACCGTAACGCGGGAACAGAATCAGCGGGGGGTCATTGCTTGCCACGCAACGAAGAAGGCAGTGACCTCATGAATTACTCGAAGCAAGCAGCGAAGCAAGGCAGGTGAAAAAGTCTGAGGGACTGCTGGATGCCCGGCGAAGGACTTAATGAGATACGTCACGGACAAGTGTCGGTGTAGAGAATACCAAAGGACATGTAGGGCACAGCCGCCTGCTTTTGGGCCCGCCATTACGAGGTAATGATTGCAACCGTGCGCATGCGAACAGCATGCGTGTTGAAGTGCGAGGTGCTAGGCAGCACAAGGCTCGCGAGACACCCAGCGGTTGCTTCGACGCAGATGGCGTCGGAGTTCCGTTAAGTGGATGAGAACGTGCATACCTTCTCTGCTCTGCCTTCTTTATCACGCACCACACGTGAACGCCTAAAAACATAAGAATGTTGCCGGCGACGACAACCATGATGAAGGAGACGCTTAACCGAAACGTACGCAGCCCGTTCGCCTCTAAGAATACCCTCCGACTGCTTTCTTCTTCCGCTGACCTCCGCCACATCGGGCTGCCGTCCACCGTCTGCAACCGTCTGTTTCGTGGAAGACTGAACCGCGTCGCGCACCGGTTACAAAGGACAGCGACTCGTTATGCGGACCCGGCTGGGGTTGAGCAGCAACCACCGCACAGGTGCAGTGCATGTCGTGCGGCATGCGCTGCTGTAGCGCATGTACTGTCTCTATTGAGGTCTTCGTCTCTGATGTACGGGACGACTCGCTCTCACCAACGGTATTCAAAGTACTCAACAACGACACGCTGAAATCCCTAGCGGTTTTGGAAAAATCGACCTCCTGCAGGAGTTGTCCACTCATTAGATGTGGCTCTCGAAAAAGTCCCTCCATGCAATAGCTGTTCACTCGTTAAACGTAGCGTTCCCCCGTCGGCTGGCCCGTCAACAACAGCCAACACGCGCAAGGTGCATGGCACGTACTCTCCACTCGCCGGGAGGGCCCGAGACTGGGGAGGCCTCTCTACAAGGACAGACCGGCCGCGGCCGCTAAAGCGCAGGCCTCCGGCAGCTAACTCGTCGTCACGACATTGTGTACGAAGCTCTTGTGGACGAGGAAAAAAAAGCACAGAGGCGCCTTTCTCCGTACGCGTGCTGGCTTAGCATGTGTCGACAATTTCAGGCTAGCAAGCCTCGCGTGTGTCCTGCCAAATCATTGATGAAAATAGAGTTTGCTTCTCCTATGCACACGACAGAATTACAACATCAGCTGAGAAGGCTCTCTTGCTGAGGACATCATTGCAATTTAGGTGGTCTCTCTAGGGCGGCTTAGAGAGACGCTCCCTAAACACTTCGCATTTCTGCACTCCCGAGATTCCTATGGGGGGCTTTAGTCCTTCGCAGCGTTGCATTTGGAATAATACTATGCCCTCACAGGCATAGTGTGAGATGACAGACAGCTCCGAGAGCTCACGGAGGGTCTCTAAGTTTTGCACGGTCCTTCCTGACGCAAGAAAGTGTACTCGCTTGAAAGAGGTGCTGCGGATACCAGAGGTCAGGCTCACAACGACCGCTGCCCCTCCGTCCGCGTACTGAAGTACAAGCTCCCCACGAATACTAAGCACTTTCCTCCTCGCGCGCTAGCTTTTGAACTACGACTATGCAAATTAGAAGAAACGCCAGAGCTGGGAAGAAGTTGGAGGAGACTTTCGTCCATCAGAGAGGATGAATACATCGAAGCATGAATGTACCAAAGTTCGGGGGATTGAGTCGCCACGACAGATGCAAACTGAGAGTCTGCCCCCTTATGGTGCGAGGTCTTGGACGACGGGAGAGGAGCAGAAAGCTGCAATTCTCCTTCTAGGGGAACGGATAACGTCTTACATTATACGAGTGACATAAGCGCAGGCGCCTGCGGCTCCGTCCTGCGTCCAGTCTGCAGGCAGTTCACTGCCGCCCAGTAGTGCGCTAGACCAAGTTTCTACGAGCACCATCCTCGATTCTGTGTCCAGCAATAATGATTCCTCCTCCTCAGCAACAGGTGAGACGTCCGATCAAGGGACCAGTTTCCGTCCGCAGCAGCACCGCATACGGCGCTGCACTCTAATTCTCTCTCTGGATCAGTGAACGGCATTCTTAAAAGACTTAGCCCTACTTGCATGATGTGGACGTCTTCTGGGCAGTGCGAAGGCACGATCCCTAACGTTTTGAGCAGCTTCAGTAGTAAGGGTGCAAAATGTTGTTCAGACGGTGGCGTGCGCAATGTTCTCTGTTGTTTTCTGAAGGCGCTATATTGAACATATGTACACCCGCTCTGAGTGTGTGGGAGGCGCCTTTCTGTCTAATGCGCTACACTCGCTGCCGACCCAGCGTAAATGGGCAGTTTCCGTCCAATGCGCTACAGTCTTCGGTGCTCCGCTCTGCCTCGTGATGCGCGAAGAGGCAAGGCGTTTGCCATCGCGACGCTGCTGTCTGTATGTTGCTAGTAAGCACCCTTGCATCATGGTGGCGTACCAGTCGTTACCGCGTGCTCGGTAGAACAGCACCTACCGGCTCGTGCGCACGAGTTTGAGTGATTAGTGGGGATGGGTGTTTCTTGCGTCCCCAGGCAGCCTACGTCAGTGCCGGCATTGCCGTACTGAGCGGATTGAGGCATTGCTTCGAAGGGACCCATCCCTTCCGGTATGATGGCGCAGCGATGAATATCTCGGGGCTCTCGGTAACGTGCGCTTGCCAGCCATGTAATTCCAGTGCTCTCCTGCGTGACTCAGTAGGCGCGGTTTGTATGGACGTTGAGCGCCTCGTGCAGAGCCCTGTCCTTTTCTCTGTAGGCAGACTTTCTTTGCAGCTCCAGGTAAAAGAGAGAGAGGGGCGACATGACCCATGATGACCACTCTGGTTTTGCGAACCTGCCTAGGGTCTCGCCGAACAACGTCGGAGCTCCACAAACCTGGTTCTGATGCGTGCTCACGTCAATCAGGCTGCGGGGGACCGGCACCCTATTAAAGTCTAGTCTGGGAGCGCTCAAGGGCAGCGCTATTGATTCCTCTTGCCACACTCGGTACTTATCTGGAACTTCGGCTCTGCCGCGACGCGAGTATCCTTATTGGAGGGGCCTCACAGCAGAGGACGGGCGGCGACGGGACCGCTGATGGTGAAGCAGTGATGCATGGGAACGTGGGCTACGCGACAAGAACAGGGAACCTTGAGACAGGTGCGCTGCGCTGACAAGTTCAACTGGACGTTGCTCAGGCGAGAAATCACTACCGTTGTGCTACTCAGCAAGTTGTGTCAGATAGTCTTCAGGTAAAATAGAACAGTATCGGACGGCGAGCAGGAGGCTGCGGGAAGCGCTTGAGCGCGTCCTGGGCAGCCCAGAGGGCGCGCCATTATTTTGTACAGCAAGGCGTGCGCGCAATGCTGCACGTCTTCGAGGTCTTTGGTAGGACGCCGTGAGATACGCAGATAGGCATTAGAGAAAGGGCTAGGGAGGAAAACGCGAGGTTTGGCGTGTGGCTACGCCCAGCAAGACAGCCGGCAGTTCACTGCCGCGCTGTAGTTAAAAAGCCGCCTTTAAAGTTGAGAAATTGCGAGACTCGCAGTGGCACCGAGCAGTGCTGGCGGTTCCCCGCGTGCATGACACGAACGAAGCCTTTCGACAATTCGCGGCTTCCTCGAATCTGTGACACAGACTCAGTCTTCCGAGGGTCAGACGAAAACAACGATATTGCCGCGGGAGCGCGAAGGCCCGTCCTCATGCAACTGCTCCTTTAGGGTCATGCGCAGGCCGATGGGAAGGGACAGTCGTAAGTCTGATTCATACAGGTCGGAAGTCCTTCTGAACACAGAGATTTATCTTGGGGGGTAGCCAAAGAAATTTTACGCACTTGAGACATCGGACGACGTGCCTCTCTCTATGTGATCCTTTTTTGTTTGTCGCATTGCTAGGTTGTTCCATAGCTTCATCGACGTCGACCGGAACGTAGCTTCGGCAGAATGCGCTTATACGCAATACCACTGGCGGTGTATGCATGGTGTCTAGACAAAGCATTTGACGCGTTTGCTTAGTGTTTCTAAAGTCCCTGAGATTTGTCACGAAGACCGCTTTGATAGTCGGTTCTGCCTTTAACGAAACTCTTGTGTCGAGTGAACTGAAAGCTAAGAAAGTCTCTACCTCGTCGCCACTACGGGAAAGCGGCAAATATAAAACGCGGTGATCGTACGAGTGCAAGAGTCGGCTGGCCCGGAGAATCTAGTCTGCTGGACAGCCGAACAGCTGCAACCCACCAACAACTAAATAGGATGCAGGCTTGCTGCTACCACAGATCGTTACTGATGCCTTCCTCCGTCGGCAACCCTTGAACCGTCGTCCTGCAATACGCGAGTAAAGCTCGACAAAAGAGGAGTGTCGGCGCGTCGCGCAGAGTGGCTGCAAGGGCTGTGAGCACCTGCAATTTAAATTACTTTACCAAAGCGTTCTATCGGCGCCTGGCGCTACTTGAGTCTGGCTTGTCCGGCCTGAATTGTCAGGTGACAGAGAAACAGAGAGCGCCTGGAGTAGAACGGAACTGTGACGGAACGGCACCAGAGAGCGTGCCCCTTCTGCACGGTGCCTGACGGGCCTCCATGCACAATCTAGAAAACACGGACGCTTCGCATAATCAGCAATGTAGTGCCAGATCGAGGGGTGCAGACAGCGGCGAAGAATACACTGCGTTTAAACTCCCCGCACTCCACTAAATACAACCGTGCTCCTGTGTTGCCAGCGCCAATGTCTTCTGGTAATCTGTTGGTCTTACAAAAGAGAGTCCTAATGTTTGAAAGAGGGACGACGTTAGCCGTTAAGCTGTGTCCGCAGTCAGCGAAATAACAGGAGAGAAAAAAATTGCTGCGCATAGGCAGATACAGGCGCTCCGGCTTCAATTACAGTTGATCATGAGAGGGCAGCGTAAGTCCGCACGTGCGTATTTCTCCAGAATATCATAGACGTGACTCATTGCGAGCTGCTCCTTCTGCCACGTCTTTCGCACTGCAGGAAAGACTGAACGTCCAGAGTGTTGAGCGTAGCACTCGATGCTTCAACATGTCTGCGGATACTATTAACTCGGTGCGTCTCCATCACAGGCTTACGCACATACAGGAATGCCCCTGCGTCTATGCTGCCCACGCAACGGTTTTCCTCTGCTCGAGAGTGTTTTTTTCAGCCGGGACTGCCAACTTTTAGCGTTCGAAGTGTGTCAGCATCCCGTCTCAGCCCTCAGAAGTCGATTGATCCCGAGTGGCAGGGCGGATACAGTTGGTAGGTGTTGTTACCTCTCGCATCAACAACAGCAGCATGTAGGGTCGTAATGATGTATATGTACGACGACGTCTCCAGGCACTTCTGTCAACGCCACCTACCATCGCTTTCATATTTAGAGGGGACCTTCAAGGTGTTGCTCCTCCCAAAATCTGTTTTTTGACGTATATGGTTTGTAGCAATTGACCTTGAATGCAGCAGCGCAGGAAGGATGGCGGTATCTCTCCCAACAACCCTGCATGGCTAGTGAAGTCAGCAGGTGGCGAAATAGACTGATATATATATGTATCTATTTAGTTCTCTAGTAACGTGTGAATATACGTACGTCCTCACACCAGTACATAAATATGCGTGCACACGTCTACACACATATGCGCACTTGCATACAAAACAGTGTGCATGCAGCACTTTGGCGAGCCACCTCCAGGGCGGAGCTCATGTTGTGCAATGCAAATAAACGTGGCCGTGCCTCAGCAGCGGTAGTGGCAGTGCAACCGCTGAATCGTCCGCCGCGGACTGTAAGCTGGGCGGTGTCACTCGGCGCGTAATGCTCCCAGGCGCCACGTGCTCGTCTAGGACATGGGACGAGAAGCATCCGCTTGCGAAATTCGCAGTGTCGGCTTCTCCTGCGACGCCCGTAGGCTCTTTCTCGCCCAAACCGTGAATCCTTGTGAGCGAAGTTGACGGAGCGCCCCTTCCGACAATAGTCTCCATGAAAGAGGTATGCCTTCAACTCCGTTGACGGCGCCTGAGCACCTCGGCGGAATCGCATACGCAATCATCTATGCGCCGGCTTCCTCGTGTATGTGGTACGCCGCTAGGGTGTGCGTCGTGTGTGGGAGATAGTGCGCGCGACTCCAACCCGCACAGTTTCCGCGGAGATGCGCAAGAGACGAAAATTGTTCCCGCAACGCCAGTGCGTCAGGGCTGTCAGCTTGAAATAGGCGGGAGCAAAGATAATGTTTGGTGTTCGGTTCTTCCGCCCGTAGGCGGAGGTGAGGACTACCGAACGGAGGCGTCCGCAGGAAAAGCACATAGGTTTTGCGGACAATGCTGTGTCAGAGGAAAGCAGTGGACCGCCGTTCGACGCCCTGTACAAATGAGGTATTGCCTACATACATCAAACGTTCAGACGACAGCAGTCGCGAGAGCAAACACAACGGCGTGGTCCGACCCGGCCACTTGGCTGGGAAGCACAGGGCTGCCCACGCACGCTCGCGTGGATCTGTATTACGGTGAAGTACGCCAGCTACACGATGTCGCCGGTGGTTGTCCGAGTCGTGCCGCTACGCTCAAACATTGCGATCTAGCAGTCGCTTTGGAAAACACTTCACGAACCTGCGGCGAGGGATGCCATCAGGATGCGGAAGTGGGTCCTCTGGGGACGTGGGGAAGGCCGTTGACAAAGAAGACCTTTTCTGAGTGCAAAACGCTATTGTCATTTTGTATAAACCCGGAACCTCTGAGTGCACCATACGCGGTGCAGAAGGGCTAGAAGACCCGAGGGCTCTCGTATCTGTCGGTATGGAACAAGCGTGGCGGTCTCGCCTCTGGGACGAATCGTCTGAGGGCCTTAGAAGGAACATTCACCGCCACATAGTTTCTGATTGTGTCCGTGCTGGTGGCAGTCACGTATGCGCGGCATTTCTCAGACTCCTCGCACCTCCCGATATGTAGAGAGAAGTAAGGACGTAGGAAAGACGGAACGGCATGGAAGTGTGGAACGAGGTGAGCGACGGACGTGGCCATGGTACGTCTAAGTGAGCGAGGGACGTGGCCACGGCGTGTCTGCATAAAGCGCGAACCTTGGAGTACGACGCATCTCTTTGCGTGTGCCGTTTGTTTCTCATGTGGCCTCTCCGTTAAGACGTGTTTTTCTGCCGGTGTCACCCGTTGCCATGAAGAGTCGCGAACGTCTTGCTTCGCCATTGCAGCATAAACGCCGGACATATTTCCAATGGGAAGTGCCGACTCCTGCATTACGTTGAACGCTGTCGTGCTGCTCTCTTGTGTCCACGTGTGCCTCGTCCTTCTCAGCACGTCGTGACGGGTTCCGCACGATTGTGACGCCTCTGCCTACGCGCAGTGCGTGGCTCAATAGCTGAACGCATAGCCGTTTCTTGAATCAGACGCTGACAAGCCCCTGGCTGTCGGGCTTTCTGCAGCGCGCGGTTATAAACGGCAAAGCAAGTGGGCCCGCTCCGTTGGAGCAACGCTATATTCAGACGCAGCAGCAGCAGCAGTAGTAGCCAGCAGAAAGCAGCAGCACTCTTGACGGCTGGAGCTTCCGGGATAGTTAACGAACGTACGCCTAGAACTTTGCCAGAAATGAGTAGCCGCGTGGCGAATATCAGCGTTTTCATGATTGATTGTTAGCGTTCGCACTCCTGCTTCTCTCTATGCGACAGGCGCCAGAGCGGCAGTGCCGTAGCAGATCATTTGCAGCGCCTGGTGCACCCCGACGACCACACAGGCATACGTGTCACATAGAGTAGAAAGAACGGAATGTCAGCGGTCAGTGTTGCACCCGTGTATCCCTGGCCGCTCTAGGCGTGCCTCGCAGGTAGAAATATACTTTAGGCCGTTCGAGTATACGGCGAAACCGACTCTGCCGCCCGAAAGTTCCCATGTGGAAAGACGACACTCTTGAGCCTACTCTACAGCTGCAGTACAAGCGAGGGGAGCTGCAAAGAAGAACCTAACCCTTCTTTTTCTGCGTCATTTTTGCTAAATGCCGAAAAATGGCGTAGGCTATGCCTTTATGCATGTTGTAGGCACGGGTGCTGCGGCTGCTGTAGTCCGGGAACACGCCTTGCTGTTATTTTTAACCAAAGGATGCACGGCATTGGTGCCTATTAACCAAATTCAGGAGGAGCATGGGCGGAAGCCTTTTTATACGGAAGTACATGCGAATTGTAGCCTGCGCGGGTCCTGCGTGGTACGTAGCAAGGCATCCGTCAGATGAATCGTGCAGGCTCTCAATGCCCTGCTGGAGACAAATGGAAACTGCAGTACTTGCGAGTCTGCAGCCTGCTGTGTTACACAGAGGCAACGCCGGTGGCTCCTCACGGTCCTGCAAGCGTCCACTCGAACACGACAGACCCACCCAACATTACTATACAAGACTATTGCTGCCCGGAAATTTCTGTCGCGGCATGACGCACTGCTGACAGGAGGCCAAAGTCATACATGTAGCGCCGATTCTACTTATATGCAAGAAATATATATATATATATATATATATACATGTATATCTAGATATATATAGGCAGGCTGACCTATGTCTCTGTGTCTGCGTGGGTCGAGACCTCGAGCTCCCAGCGAAATCAGCGCGACCCAGCCTGCCACCGCGATGTGCAACGCTTTCCCACTCAATGACAAGTGTGATCTACGCCATGATGGTAGGCCAACAGCTTCTCCCCGTACAAGGGAACCAGAGACTTGGGACGGTTGCTGCGCAAAGTTTGAGCAGAAATGCACTTCGGCTGCGAAAAGCGGGTTTTGGTCGTGCAACGTAAGACTCTCTGACCGCTGGCTCTCTGCGTTCGAACAACAGTGCGCTAGTTGTGAATGCGAAGTTCAATCCAGAGAGAGGTGAGGGGCTGCTGGGTGATGGTACACCTCGGCAAGTCCGACAAAGAGCTCGCCGCGGCGGGGCTCTCTCTTACCTGGACTGTGGGTCGGCAGTAGCGCTTGCGACATTGTTGTCTGCTTGAAGCACGCAGTGACACCCGAGCCCCCCACCGTTGCTGTGCCCCGCCCGAGAAACGCATATGTTTCATTCTCGAACAGACTTAGTGCGTGATACTGCCTGCTCAACGCATTGTCGTGCAGAAGCATTGCTGTGACGACACATATAGAAAACCTGTAGCTACGCCAGCGGCTCGCGTTTGCATTTTGGTAGTCGCTGCGACGCTCCGCTTCGCTCTCCTGAGTAGGACACGTCTTTCGCCATTCTGGTGCTGGCTGAGTTCTTGTTTGAGTGTCAAGGTGTCGCGTCTGTCTGAATCCTCTATTTTCTCTCTACGCATCCACATCGCATCACGGTATGTGCCGTGAATAACTCACCGCCGA